ACCCGGCACGCTCCTGTCCTGGGCTTGACACTGGCTGTCCCCTCTGCCTGGACTGCTCTGCCCCGGATATCTCAAGGCTCACCCCTCACCCCCTTCAAGTTTCCGCTCGAATGCAGTCTTCTCCACGAGGTCCCACCCTGACCACACGAGTAGCAGCCAGCTGCCTTCCCTACACCACGCCCAAGCGCTTCTTGCTCTACTCTTTCCTGTTTTCCATAATGTGATCTAACATTACTTCCAGGCAGTCTACTTATTGCGCTTATTGCTTACTGTCTGCCTCTCCCCTCTTCTTCCAGCCAAAACGTAAGGCCCAGAAGGGCATGAAGCATCAACTGTTTTGTTAGCTGATCTAGCCCCACAGTGCCTGGCCCTTTGTGGGTGAATTGACTAGGCTCCGCAGGAGGTGGGAGGGGCCAGAGGCACAAGGTGCTGAGCTCTCCCTGGGCTGGGCTGTTCGCTAGGAGCCTCGGGGCCAGCCAGGGCCAGCAGTATTCACCTCTGGAGCAGGCAGAGGGCAGCATGGGGCCTCAAGGCGGCATGAGGGTCAGAGATCTGTGGGTTTGGCCAGACCTTGACCTTCTCAAGTCTTGGTTTCTTCCCTTGTGAACTGGGAAGCTAATCCCAGCCTTGTGAGGCTGTTATGAGGATAGCCCTGAGTTTAAATCCAGGGATCCCAGATCCAATCCCTGCAAGGGTCAAGTGGGGACTGTGTCATACGGAGGAGCACCTCTTCTTCTGGCAACGGTGCTACTGGTTCATTCAGGAACGCCTGCCTGGCTCAGGCTGAAATCTAGGTGCTCAAGTGAAATCTGCTGGGCACAGTGGTTCACGTCTGTAATCCCAGTGCTTTGGGAGGTCAGGGTAGGAGGATTGCTCGAGGCCAGGAGTTCAAGACCAGCCTGGGCAACATAGCAAAACCTCATCTCTATAAAAATATTTAAAAATCTGCTGAGCATGCTGGTGGGCATCTCTAGTCCTAGCTATTTGGGAGGTTGAGGTGGGAGGATCCTCTGAGCCCAGGAGATCAAGGCTGCAGTGAGCAGTGATCATGCCACTGTACTACAGCCTGGGCAACAGAGCAAGACCCTATCGTTATACATAAAGAAATAAAAAGCAGGAGATTTCACTTTCACTCTGCCTCCCAAGTAGCTGGGACAACAGGTGCACACCACCACACTTGGCTAATTTTCTAATTTTTTTTTTTGTAGAAACAGGGGTCCATACTGGTCTTGAACTCCTGGGCTCAAGCAATCCTCCCACCTTGGCATCCCAAAGTGCTGGGATTACAGGCATGAGCCACTGCATCAGGCAAATCTTCTGATTTTAAATTGTTGGCTACTGATTTTAAAATGAAACAGTGGAGGCCAAACAAGACGTTACGTGTGGGTGACACGTAGCTTTCAGATGGCGCATTTCTGGCCTCCACAACACCTGTACCCCATCTTACATCTACCTTGCAACTGTGCTGGCCCTAGCACAGTGCCACCCTTCTCTTTAGTGAGGCCCGGAGAAAGCAACTATATCCCCTGCTCACACAGCCAATAGATCACAGAAACAGATTTTGTGCCCGTGTCTGGCTGGCTCTTCTCACTGTCTGGTGTTGCTTGTTGTATAGGAGCAGACAAGGTCACAGTGAAGGAACTTGGGCATAGACAGGGCTCTACCAGGGGTGTGGGCTGGTAGGGCGGGAGCCCAAGGCTGGGAGGCAGATTTCTCTTTCTTTTTTTTTCTTTTCAGACAGAGTCTCGCTCTGTCGCCCAGGCTGGAGTGCAGTGGTGCAATCTTGGCTCACTGCAAGCTCCGCCTCCCGGGTTCATGCCATTCTCCTGCCTCAGCCTCCTGAGTAGCTGGGACTACAGGCGCCCGCCAGCACGCCTGGCTAATTTTTTGTATTTTTAGTAGAGATGGGGTTTCACCGTGTTAGCCAGGATGGTCTCGATCTCCTGACCTCGTGATCCACCCACCTCGGCCTCCCAAAGTGCTGGGATGACAGGCGTGAGCCACCGCACCCAGCCATTCTCCCCTTCTTGCCTACTGATGGAACCCCCAATTTTGCTGGACACATGGGTAACTAAAATAAAGACCGTATTTCCCAGCCTCCCTTGTCACTGGGGGTGGTCATGTGACTGAGTTCTGACCAATGGGATGGAAGCAAAGGGTCAGGTGGCAGCATCCTCTAAGGATGGACTCCGTGGAGCTCTGTCCCCTTTCTTCCCCTTCCAACTTCCTGCTGGCTGGGAGGTGGGCATTTTGGCAGAGGCTGAAGTATCTTTCTCTATGAGTGGTAAGTAAGCAGGTGCTGTGAACAGTCAAGCAACAAGGCGGAGCCTGGGTCCACCAGACCAGTCCCAGACCACCCACCCCTACATGTTTTTAGGCGAAGAATAATCTACCATTATTTTGAGTTTCCCACTGCTTGTGGTCAAGGTAAAACCTCACTGATATGAACATCACTATCACAGAGCTCTCTGGATCCAGAAATAAGGAGGAAGCATGAGACAGAGCAGCTTCAGCATGTAAAGCTGGCCCTTCTACCGTTTCACTAGGGCAGGGAGAGCCCAAAGTGGGAGTCATGAGGGCCCAGAGCTTCTCCTGGCTTGGTCCTCATGCTCTTTGCAGCCTTGGGCGGCTTCTGGGCAGGAACATGGTCATTTGTTAAGAGCATCCTGACTAATGCAGGGTGAGGCCAGTACAGCAGCCTATATAGGCTGGTAAGGACCCGGAGGGCTCACTCGGGGAGACCCCCAGTCTGAGGGTTGCCCAGCAGCCCTCCTTCCCACTGACAGGCTTGGGCCCGCCTCCCCACCAGCCAGCCCTACTCACGCCTGTAATCTTCTTCTTGCATTTGGCACAGCTGGGTGCGTAGCGCACGTCATAGCATGGCGGGCAGAAGATGGCGCCCTTCTCCTCGAAGAAGCCGCCCTCTTCTAGGACCTTCCCACACTGGCTACAAACAAACTCCTCGGGGTGGTACGCGTGGCCCAGCGCCACCAGGTAGCGGCCCCTGCCGGGAGGCGAGGGCAGTGAGAGGGAGCGCATGCAGAGGAGGTGGAGGTCTTGGTCCCCTTCAGGCTGACTGACCACCCACCGGGAAGCCTCGGGAGGGAGGAGTTCATTCTCCCCATTTTCCACATAGGGTAGAAGACAGGCTTGGGAAGTGACCATGACAGCCATGAAGCTTGCAGAGCCAGCCCGTCACACTGAACTGCTGGTGACAGGAGAGGCAGTTTTAGAGCAGGGAGGACCCCGGGAGGAAGGGCTGACGACTGGAGCCTCATGAAAGCTGAGGAGCCCCTGGGCAAACCCTGGGGCCATCCTATCCTGCTGGCCTGCCTGATCTACCTGGCAAGAGCTGATAGAGTTAGTTGGGCACGGTGGCTCACACCTGTAATCCCAGCACTTTGGGAGGCTGAGGCAGGCCTGAGATCACCTGAGGTCAGGAGTTCGAGACCAGTCTGGCCAACATGGTGAAACCCCGTCTCTACTGAAAATACAAAATTAGCCAGGCGTGGTGGCCTGCGCCTGTAATCCCAGCTACTCAGGAGGCTGAGGCAGGAGAATCTCTTGAACCCGGGAGGCAGAGGTTGCAGTGAGCCGAGATCGTGCCACTGCATGCCAACCTGGGCGACAGAGTGAGACTCCATCTCAAAAAGAAGGAAAAGAAAAAAAGGGCGACAGAGTCAGGAGCAGGCCAGGGCTGAGGACTAGGAAGCCTCTAGAATCCAGCTTGCTGATGCTGGGGGGTGTTTGATGCTGCTTGGCCCCACGGGGCAGTGCACAGAGGGAGGGGCTCTAGGCCTGTATGCTCTGAGAGCAGAGAGAGACAGAGAGCAGGAGGTGGGGGCAGAGGCACTGGGAAGGGGCAGGCCCCTCTTGGCCCAGAGAGCAGCAAAGGTAGGGGTGCAGCTTCAGCCTATGGTTGGCCCTTTGGCCGTTTCGGCAGGGCAGATGCTGCTAGCAAGTGTTGTGGGTAGGCTGGGGTAGGTAGCGTGGGATTAAGAATCTGAGGACCCAGCTCAGGTCCCGACTCCTACTCCAGCTGGGAACTGAATCCTTATTCCCCCCAGTCGCAGCTGAGGCAAGATGGGTGGGCAGACAGGTGGGGTTGGGCTGCAGGATGGGAAAGCCAGGGTTGGACGGGAACAGGACACCCACCGGATGACCTTGTGGCACTGGTGACACACAGGAGTCTTGCCGTTGTTGCTGCCCCCTCCTGGTACCCCTCCGGCAGCTGCCTGCACGATGGAGGTGCGGTTCTGCAGCGGCGTGGGCGTGGCCGGCTGGCTGTGCCGGGTCAGCACTGTGCTCGTTTTGTCCGGGGCATAGCGCTCGGCAAACGCAGGGTCCACAGCCCAGGGCGGGCGGCTGGTGGGGCTGGGGGTGGTAGGGCCTGCCGGGGCCGGGGAAAGTGGCTCTAAAGGGGTGCCCACGGACCCCAAAGGACAGGGGGTGGAGCCCCAGGCAGCTGAGAGAAGCCCGCCACCCCCATGCCCTGGAGGCTGCCCACCCTTGCCCAGGCCCGAGCCCACTCCCTCTCACCAGGCCAGGGCTCCTGGGGTGTAGATGAGGCTGGGGCTGGGGCTTCTGTCCTGGGCACCTGGCTGCAAGATCTGCCATTCAAGGCCCTGCATGGCTGAGCTTCCTGGCATGGCCCCACCCCCCAACCTGGGTCCTGCTGGCCCCACGGGAGATGCCTGGGGGCATGGAAACTGCTGAGCTGGACTCCAGGTCCCACTGGGGTAGGGATGGGAAGGGCAGCTTCTCATAGCAACGTCCAGGTAGCTGGTATGTTGTCTATAGCTGGGAGATGGAGCAAGGCTCCCGCTTCTGAGGCAGCTCTTGGGGCTCCCCTCATGCCAGGAAGCCATCTGTGATGGCAGGGCAGGGCCCCTTTGCCAGGTACCCCCCTCCCACTGAAAACGAGGACGGCAGGGCCCAAACTGAGTCCAAACCACGAAACACCCCCACACCCCAAATGCAAACCAGGTGCACAAAGATAGAAAACAGAGGCAGAGCAAGCAGGGCTGAGAATGTTTATTTCCAGGCCCAAGGCAGCACAGACCTGGCAGACAGCAGTACCACAGGGCAAAGAGGTAAGGCAGTGTCAGATGAACCCAGTTGTGCGGCCAGGGCCAGGCCAGCAGGAGGCTCAGGCCAGGGGCAGGAAAGTGGGGGGTGAGGTAGGCAGAAGCTGGAGGCACTAAGGGGGTGCCCTGGGCAGGAGGAACAGAAAAAGGGAGGCAGAGAGGGCAGCCGGCTGGAGAGGGCCGGGCTACGACTGCACGTTGAGCACGTGGGCAGAGCGCTGGTGGTGCCAGTCCCGGAGGCGGGTGTAGCGTGGGCTCTGCAGCTCCAGGACATACTTTTCCCTGAGGGGCAGAGAGAGAGGGAGGAAGAAGTGGAAGGAAGGAGAGATGGAAGGGAGGCAGGGAGGGAGGAGGGAAGGAAGGAGGGAGGGAAAGAAGGAAGGAATGAAGGAAGGAAGGAGGGAGGGAAGAAAGGAAGGAGAATGGAGAGCCCCAGCTGGGAGCCTCAGGAGTAGACATAGGGCAGTAGCTGGAATGGAAGAGGCAGGAGGTGGGAGAGGGACTCATGCCCATCCCTGTACCTTGATTTTTTCAGGTGCTCCTCATCCGGGTCTTGCACTGAGAGGGCAGAGGCAGGCATTGACCAAGAGAGACAGAGGGTCAGGGCTCACGCCTGGGCTTGGGGCCAGAAGATTACCCCCTGCCCTGGGCTGGCACTTACTGAACTCGGTGCCTGTGAGGTGGGCAAGGATGCGAAAGGAACGCGACTGGCCTGTCCCTGGCCGTGGCCGCCAGTCCTCTGTGTTCTCCATCAGCCGCTGCTTGCTGGCGTCTGGGACCAGCGGTCGGAGCGGCTGTCTGTGGGGAGGGTGTGGCTCAGAACCCCACACTGGGGGTGGGCAGTGGGGGCAGCCCCTCCCAGGATTTGGTGTATGTGGGTTTGGGTTACAGTGATGGGAGGGAGTGGGTAAGGGTGAGGCTAGGAGCCCTGCTGGGCGGGTGGGTGAGAGGACAGGAGGGCGAAGTGGAGAGGAGGGCAGCCAGGGTGGGGAGGGGCCGCCGCCCAGAGTGCCAAAAGGAAGAAGAGAGGGACAGGCAGAGGGGGCTCACTGACTTGTCAGGGGTCTGCACCTGTGAAGGAAATAAGACAGATAGACAGATAAAGGGACAAAGGGACAGGCACAGGAGAGGAAGAAAGATGGGGAGGGGTCAGAACAGCCGGGGACAAGGCGGCACTGAGTGTCTGGGGCTCAGCTGGCCCGACACCACAACCCAACCCCCAGCCGCCAGCGAAGGGCGCGGCCTCATTCAGAGACCCCTCCCCAGGGCGGTGCCCTGCAAGGCGCCACAGCCTCGGGAGGGGCCCTGTGCCTGCAGCCCCACCCCGGCCGCCAGGGGTCGCTGCCGCACGGTTCCGCCAGGCTGGGGCGCAGCACAGACTGAGCAGCAGCGGGCAGCGGGCGTGGGGCCACAGGGGGCCTGATAGCGTGGGCGTGGGCGTGGGCGGGCAGGGGCCGACGTACCCATTCTGCTGCAGGGCGCTGTCAGCGGGCGGGGGCGCCCCGAAGGGTCGGGCCGTCTTGTTGAGGGAGACGCTGGGTGCAAAGGTGTACCGCGGGGGGTCCGCGGCAGGGACGGAGGCCTGGGCAGAGACAGAGCCGGGCAGGGCGGGCGGGCGGGGTAGGGTGGTGACCTGGGTGGGAGTGGGGCGCCTGCGCGAGAGGACAGCGGCAGCTCCAGCCCCCCACCCCCACCCCCCACATCTGTCTGGAGGCTAAGGGGAGAGGACAACAGGTTTCAAGGGGCCCATTTGGGAGTGCTGATCTCAGTCCACGCAGGACCGAGGGCTGACCCAGTGCGGGCGAGCACGCAGCGCCGATGGCGGGAGGCAGGCAGGCGGACAGACAGGCGGACATGCGTGGTGCCAGGACCGTGCGGCAGCCCCTGGCTCAACTCCAGGGCCCTAGACCCGCCTTAGCTCGTTTCCGCCCTCCACTTCCGGCCAGGGATTGGGGTACCGAGAATGTGCCAGGAGGGCGAGCAGGCCCGGCCGTCCAAGCCCACACCGCCCGCACCCAGATGTCTCGGCCTGCCTCCTACCTTCTGTGGTTTGCTCTGAACTGGCTGGGCCCTGGAGAAGAAGGAAAGCATGACAGCGGGCTGGGCCCGCGGGGATCCCCTCCGCCAGCGCCCACGCACCCATGCATGCCCACCTGCACCCATGCATGCCCACCCGCATACCTGCTGAGGCCCAGGCTGAGGCGCTCCCCGCAGGCCCGGATCTTATTCTGAGCTTCGATATGTGTGAGGCTCCCTGCGTTCTCGCCATCGATGCTCAGCACCCAGTCACCGACGGCCACTCCGGCCTGCGCCGCTTTGCCTCCAGGAGTGAGCTATGGAGAGAGAAGCAAAGTGACTGAGGCCCTGGCTCCTGCAGACCCAAGCCAGGTTGATGGTGGTAACCCTGCCCCACCCAAAGCTGCCCCACTTCCAGAACCCAGAGAGCTCTTATTCAACAGAGTTCTAGGCAGCTGCTGGACACTAAAGCAAGCCAGGTGGTGGCACTCACCTGAGCTTCACAATTTCCCCAGTCACACTGCTTATTTATTCACCACCACGACCCTCCCACACAGTCCAGAAATTGCTATGATGTCCACAAACAGCCAGGCTCAGGCTAAAGCCCAAGTTTTTCAGGAGGACCATTGCCTTTTGAGGCTCCTGCTGGCTTCCTGCCCAGGCCGCTCCACCTACCAGATATGCCGTCTGACCCATGCAGGGGGCAGCTTCCTCCCTGAAACCACCCGGGGCTCTTACGGACCTCTTACCCCCCAGCACCCTGTGAGGGGCCATCTGCAGCGGTCTCCTAGGACCCTCTGAGCGCCAGAACAGGCCCTGTTATCTTCCGGTTCCCTGTGAACACTGCCTGAATGGGGCCTAAGGTGACAGCCGGGGCTTCACAGGCCATACATGGGTGTCACGCCCAAGCCCTCAACTGCCAACTTTCTCCAACCCCAATCCTTCAGGCTATTGAGCTGGGAGTCCCTGGTTCCTGTGGCAATGAGAGGAGACAGTAGGCTGGGAGAAACGGCTGCCACCAGGATGAGCTGAGACCATCAGGAATGACTTCAAGGACGCTGTGAGCCTCGGTAAAGGAGAATGGGGTGTGCTGCCTAGCGGGTGAGTTTACTTATGATGGCTTTGAATGCCAGAAGGAACTAGGACTTGGCTTTGAGGGTAGAGGAGCCACTGGCAGTTTTAATGTCTGGGATGGGGTATCTCCCAGGCCCTGAGAGGGGTGACCCTGATAATCCCCTTCCAGGCCTCGAGGCCAGCCCCAGCAACACAGGCGGGGCAGCTTGACTGGGTCTGAGCCCAAGGGGCCACCCAGCCATCTGGCAAGAGGCCTGGTACTGCAGTAAGTAGGCTTTTGTGAGGCAGTGCTGGAAGACAATTTCACTGGGTGGGGGGGATCTGGGGGGTCCAGGCTGCCAGAAGCCCCAGGAGGCTCCTCAGGTGGGCCAGTGCACAGACTGGGCTGAGACAGGGAAAAGGGAGGCAAGAGGTTTCAGAGAGATGTCAGAGGGCAGGGCAGCCAGACACAGAGCCTGACAGCACCAGGAAAAGAAAGGCGAGCTGGGCTCAACATGATTTCTTGCTTGCATGGGAGGTGAGAAGGCTAAGAGAGCTCAGTGGCCCCTTCCTCACTCGCTAAATAAGAACAGTTGCTTCCGTTTATTGAGCACCAAGTATGCTACATATTGACACTGAATCTTCCAACAACCCTGTGGAGTAATCAGGGATTTTACCCATTTTGCACTTGAAAATGTACACAGAGGCCAGGCGCGGTGGCTCACGCCTGTAATCCCAGCACTTTGGGAGGCTGAGGTGGGTGGATCACCAGGTCAGGAGATCAAGACCATCCTGGCTAATACGGTGAAACCCCGTCTCTACTAAAAATACAAAAAATCAGCCGGGTGTGGTGGTGGGCACCTGTAGTCCCAGCTGCTCGGGAGGCTGAGGCAGGAGAATGGCGTGAATCCGGGAGGCAGAGCTTGCAGTGAGCCGAGATGGCGCCACGGCACTCCAGCCTGGTCGACGGAGCAAGACTCCGTCAGAAAAAGAAAAAAGGAAAAAAGAAAATACACACAGAGAGGTTAAACAACTTGCCTCAAGTCACCCAGCTAGTAAGAGGCAAGGCCAGGAAGTGTCCCTGACCCTGAGGCACTGTGGGCCACCTCTGCTGAGCATGGGGGCCCAACCGGGGGGCCAGTCCACCTGGAGACACCCTGAGCCCCTCCCTCACCTTTAGTTCAATCCAACTAAATCAACCCCTTATACGGTATGTGGGGAAGTGACACCCCAGAGGGGAAGTGACTTACTCAAGGTCATGGTGAGTCAGTAGAAGGGAAACCTGGCCCAGCCACTCCCTGCCCACAGGGCTGGCTCCTGGGAGGTGTGGGCTGAGCCCGAGATGGAGGTCTTGGGGTGCACAGGAGCAGCTAGCTGGCTCCTGGAGAGGGGGTAGGGGGCGGGGACGGCTTCCCTTCCCAGAGTGAGGAGGGCAGAAAGCAGAGGATGAGGAGTGTTCAGAGCATGGAGAGGGCGGCAGGAGAGCAGGAGACAGCGCTGGGTGGGTGGCTGGAGAGAGGCAGGGAGGGGCTCAGGCCAGGAGCAGGGTAAGGCCAGAGGAACCAAGGAGGGAAAAAGCCAGGGGGCTGGACCCTGCATGAGGTGGGGGTGAGTCAGCCTGAGCAGCCCAACCCCCCAGTCCCAGACGTTACCTCATCTCCCAGGCCTGGGCCCACGGCCAGCCCTCACCCCTCCCATCTCCCTCCATCCTGGGGTCAGGGGAGGGGGAGGGGGCTGGCCTAACTCAGAAAAGCCCACCTCACCCACCCATGTGGGCCCAGGTCCAACTCCAGGGCTGGGATCAGCTAGTGGCCCCACCCACATGCCGGGGATGCTGACCAGGGAGCTGGAGCTTGGAGTGCCCCCAACAGGCCATATCTGAAAGTCATCTCCATCAGGGAAGAAACTGAGGTTCAGGGTCCCCAGACGCATTGGGCCAGCACTTTCCCAAGGGGCAGGACGCCGGGTGGGTTTTCAGAGCTGTGTGAGGACTGTGTAGGAGGATGTGTGTGGTAGGGCGACCACTGCCCTCACTACCCTGCTGGCGGGGCAGGTTCCCGGAGAACACCGTGGAAGGACCCCTGGGAAGAGCCTGCCCTAACCCCCATGCCCAACTCCTACAGACAGACTCCACCTTGACGCCCTCCTCAGGCCACAACCCTCTGGGCCCTTCCAGGCTGGGCTTGCCCTGGGCTTCCTGACAACAGCTGCCTGCCCACCCATCGCCTGGGTGGGCCTCTCTGGGCAGGCGGATATAGGGGCAGGAAGTCCCCACCCCCTGCTGACCCCCAGGCCAGTCAGAGATGCCAGCCCACAGGTTGGCCTCACCCACTCTGGGCAGGCAATTTGTTGTGTCTCACAACTGGACCATACAGCTGGAGCTGCAGCCTGATGACCAGCTGAGGGGCCCAGCAGTGGGGTTCAGGGGGCCAGGCCTAGGCCAGCCCTTTTCAGCTTTGCAGACTGCAGCCACTGTTGGCCATCCCAGCGTGGGGCCGCATTCTTGGGCTTATAAGGCAATCCCCCTGCTACAGGGAGGAGCCAGCCTTCAGCTCCACCCCCACCAGGGCAGGCTCTTGGAAGCTGAAGTTAAGCCCCTAGAGAGGAGCCCTGTCCTGCACTTCTGCTTGGGGTCAAAGGCCACCACGTCCTGAATGGGAATGGTGGATGCAGGTCCTTACATAGGCTGGGGAGAGACCCCTTCCACCCACAACAAATGCACACCATCCCGCGCTTCAATTCCAATCCCTGCTTCAACATGGACTCGATGAGCGAGCCCCTCCACCTCTTCATGAGTTCTTCTCTCATCTGGAAAAACAGGATGAGGACTGCTATTCCCTGGGCAGAAGTGTGTCTGAAGTGAAATCCTACAGTCACAGTGCCCTGCCTGGGGCCTGGCTCCAAGCATTGCCACCTCAAGTTTAGATACCTCCTGGAAATGTCAGGCTCCCATCCTGCACAATGATCCTCAATGATCCTCCCTCCCGCCCTCAGAAGTGGCCACAGGAGCTTGGGAGAACAGCATCCGGTACAGTGCAGGACTGGGGAAGCCTGGGTGCTCCCTCCCAGTATCCACCTCATTGGGAGTCATTGCAGCGGGCAGGTACCACTACATCTCGGACCTGGACATCTCCTGGCCTGCTAGCCCCTGACCAGCTCCTGTTAGGACTCCCCCATCACCCTCTGGAGACCTGAGCACCCAAAGACCGCTGGGGGAGCCCCCTCCCCAAACCTAGGCTCACCCGGGAAATGGAGAGGGGCACATTGAAGTCCTTGCCCCCTTGCAGCCGGAAGCCCCAAGGTGCCGGCCCCTCCAGCACTACCTTGAAGGAATCCATGATGCCGGCTCCTGAGAGGAGAGGAGAGAAGAGGTGAGTGGCCAGCATGGTGGGCAGGCAGGCAAGCAGGCAGGCCGGCCGGCCCAACTCAAGATACCAGGCTTGGACAGGGGCCAGGCAGGCACGGGCAGCCCCTGAGCACACGCAAGCCATAGTAGGCAGGTATTTTGTCAGGCTGGGCTGGGCTGCTGGCGGACCTCACTTTGGAAAGACAGGAACAGCCTCCCTCCCCTTGGGACTGGAACTGTGAGGGGTGCCTGAATCCAGAGTGGAGGTTCTTTTCAACCAGGGGTGGGCCGAGGGACTAAACTGGCGCGGCCTCCCCGCAAGCCAGCCTGGAGCCTCGGGCGGCCGGGTGAGTCAGGGGCCGGCTCTCCTCTCCCCCGCCCCCAGGTCCCGGCAGGCAGGCCGCGGCTGGAGCCTGCTCGGACTATATAAGGCGTGTAAGCTGACACTGTGCGGAGAGCCAGCGCAGGGAGCACACGGGGGCTTGGGACACGAGGGGGAGGGGAGGGAGGCGGCTGCAGCGGATCCTCCCAGCCATTCCGGGACCAGTCGAGGCTGCTGGGAGCCAGGGCGGGACCCCTGGGTGCTGAAGAAGGGGAAGGCGGGAGTGGGGTGCGGCCCCTGTGGAGACAGGTGGGGGCTGGGACCCTAAAGCATAGCTTGGAGGGGGATCCTTCCCGGAGCCCAATGGGGATGGTGCCTCCCACACAGAACTGCTCCCACACCGACGTGACTCAGTTTCCCCCTAGTCCCCCGTCCGGGCCCCATGCATTAGACTGGCCCCGGCCGCAGGAAGCAGCGCAGGCGCCAATCGGCCCCGCCGCAGCCGGCTTCGCGGCAGGAAGGCGGGGGCGGGGGCGGAGGCAGGGGCAAGGGCCCGCGGGAGGAAGCACAGCCTGGACCGCGACCCCCAGTGCCCTTTGTGGTCCTCAGCAGGCCCCAGGCGCCCGCCTGGTCCAGCCCAAGACGCCCCGCGCGGTCGTCGATACCTGCTCGGCCCCGCCAGTGCGCTGCTCGGCGTCGGGGTCCAGGGAGCCGCGTTGGGATCGGCCGCCAGTGTTCTGACCCCGCCCCCGCAGTCACCCTCCACTTTGAGCGCGCGGAAGGGGGCGGGGCACACGGCCACGCCCTCCTCGTGACCACGCCCACTAGACGATCTCCGTTGGTGGAAAGCGCCACCCAGCTCTTCCGTCCCGCCCAATCACCACGTCCCGTCGGGCTGCGAGCTGAGAGGCCTCCCCGACCCGGGCCCTGCAGTGGGGCGGAGTCGGGGCGGGGCCGGGGCTGCGGGTCGCCTCATTAGGGAGGAGCTGCCTCGCCCAGTCCCTCGCACCGCCCGCTGGCGGAGGGAGGGGAAAGCGGACCTGCAAACCAGACCGACCTGGGCCCTAGTCGTCTCTGAACCTTAGTTTGCTACTCCGAAAAATGGGACGATCATACTCGCCTCGCAGGGCTGCTGCGAGGGTCGGTATCGTAGGTGCAACCATCGGGGGCTGCAGGATTTCTAAATCAGAGGGCCTGGGAGGAGATAAGGTGGGGAAGTTGAGGGGGACAGGGGCGTTTAAAGCTTGATTTGCGCAACGCTCTACCGAAGGCAGGAACACAGGGCAGGAGCGGACGCCGGGGGTCCCTGGCCTTCGGGCCTTGCCCTCGCTCGCATCCCTACAACCCCGACCCGACCCGCACACCGTCGGAAGCGCCGCGTCCCGCTCCACCTTGGCCAGAGCGGACTGCGCCCCGTGGGAGGCGTCCTCAGAGTCCCGGCCCCGCGTTCAGCCCGGGCACTAGGGCCCGCGGCGCGGACACTGAGAGCATGCGGGTGTCGGGGTGAGGGAAGGGGCGTCCACCCTCCGCTCGCTTGGTGGTCCCGGCCGGTCAGCTCCTCCTAGGACATGGTTGCTGCAGTTCTCCCCTCTCCATCCACAGTCATCACACCCACCCTCTTCTGCATAAAACGCTGTGAGAGCATCGTTAAAGACCTTCTCTTGACCCCACATCCCTCTCCAACTACTAGCCTTTAATTCTGCTCTTGAGAGTCAAATTCCTCCAGGGAGTTGTCTGTTTATCGCGTCTCCACTTGCTTTCCTTCAGTTATCTCTTGAAGCCATGCCAGGCAGGCTCTTGTCCGCACCGGTCCCCTGAGATCTTTCTTCTCAAGGTCACCTGTGACCTGGAGGCCATCGGGCCATGGAATCCGTGGTGGTTCAGTTTCATCCTGCCCCTCCTAGGGGCAGCATGGGTCCGGGTGGATTCTCGTCCCCCGAAACACCCTTTTTCCCTGACTTCACAGCTTCTCCCTGCCCCACTGGCCCCTCCTCCCCATCCTCCTCTGCCTCTGGCTTTGGCCATCTGATGCCATCTCTCTTTCTTCTCACCCCCTAAGACCCCGTACCGTCCTGTGGCTTTCAATACCACCTGTATGCCAAGGCATCTCATGTTTCATGGCCAGCCTGACCTCTCCCCAGGAACTCCAGACTCCATTATCCAAAACGCTGCCTAGATGTTTACTAGATCAGGGTCCCCAACCCCCTGTTTGTAGCCTGTTAGGAACTGGGCTGCACAGCAGGTGAGCAGCGGCAAGCCAGAGAAGCTGAGTGTAGCAGCAGCATTAGATTCCGATAGGAGCGTGAACCCTATTGTGAACTGTGCATGCGAGGGATCGAGGTTGCTCGTTCCTTATGAGAATCTAATAATAAATGGGCCGGGTGCGGTGGTTCACGCCTGTACCTGTAATCCCAGCACTTTGGGAGGCTGAGGTGGGGGAGGATCACTTGAGGTCAGGAGTTGGAGACCATCCTGGCCAACATGGTGCAACCTCGTCTCTACTAAAAATACAAAAATTAGCTGGGCGTGGTGACACATGCATATAATCCCAGCTACTCAGGAGGCTGAGGCAGGAGAATCACTTGAACCGGGGAGGCAGAGGTTGTAGTGAGCCAAGATGGCTCCACTGCACTCCAGCATGGGTGACAGAGCGAGACTCCATCTCAAAAAAAAAAAAAAAAAAAGAATCTAATGATAAATGTACTGCACTTGAACCCTCCTGAAGCCACCCCCACCCGCCCCCAGTCCGTGGAAAAATTGTCTTCCGTGAAAGCAGTCCCTTCTGCCAAAAAGGTTGGGGAGCCACTGTGCTAGGTATCTCAGGCCATCATGGCCCACCTGTCCCACCTTGTGCCTTTCCCACCTCCCTAACTCATTCCTGACTTCAACAAGTGCCACCAACATTCATCCAACTGGTTCAGCAGAAATGGTGAAGTTATCCTTCCTTTTTCTTCTGTCCTCCCCCAGATTCTGCAAATTCCACCTTCAGCATGTTCACATCTAACCACTGCTTCCACCATTGTCCCAGCCACTGCCATCTTGTGCCTGTGCCCCTGTAACAGTCTCCTAACGAGTATCCCTGCTTTCACCCTTGCCCCTTCCAGAGTCTTCATGAAGCAGCCAAAGTGATATTTTTAAAGCCAGAATCACACCACCATGTCACTCTCAGCTTTTAGCATTCCAGTGAGATCATATTGCACTCAAAATAAAACTAAAGTCCTTAAGACCTACAGAACACGAATAAACTGCGTCTGACTCCTACCACTCGCTCCCTCCACTCCAGCCACCCTGGCCTCCTCACTCACATTTCCCCCAGCAGGCCAAGCATATTCCTGCCTCAGGGCCTGTCCACTTGCCAGTTCCCCTGCTTGAAACACTTCTTTTTTTTTTTCTTTTTTTGAGACGGAGTCTCACTCTGTCATCCAGGCTGGAGTGCAGTGGTGTGATCTTGGCTTGTTGCAACCTCCGCCTCCCGGGTTCAAGTGATTCTTCTGCCTCTGCCTCCCGAGTAGCTGGGATTATAGGCATGAACCACCATTCCGGGATAATTTTTATATGTTTAGTACAGATGGGGTTTCTCCATGTTGGTCAGGCTGCTCTCAAACTCCTGACCACCAGTGATCCATCTGCCTTGGCCTCCCAAAGTGCTGGGATTACAGGCGTGAGCCACGGTGCCCGGCCCTTGAAACACTTCTCCAGGTATCTCAGCAACAGGCTTCCAACTTTTTTTAGGTCTCTGCTCAGATGTTGCCTCCTCCCAGGGCCTTCCCTGATCACATCTGAAACAGCAATCCCCTGATGCCTCACCCGCATTGCACACTAGGCCCTCCCTCTGCTTTACTTTTCCCCATAGCATCTCCATCATCTGACATTCCGTATGAAGTGTTTGTTTACTTAGGAATCCCATAGCACCCGAGACATGTGGATGTGGAAAAGGCATCTCCAGAGTGCATGTGTGGAGGGAGCTGGGGGAATGGGGACTCTCTGCGGCGCTCTTTCCAGGGTGTGTTCTTTGTTAGGACAATGAAGACACACAGCTTATGTGTCTTGTCTAACATTTCCCCAGGGCCTACACACAGTGGATGTGAATGAACACACGAAGAAAGGAAGGATTGACAAAGTGAAACAGCAAATGAGCAAAGGAAGAGGTGGCAGCCTGGGGGTCCTGGCAGTCCTCCAGCAGAGAGGACCTCTGGCTCCCATTCCTTGGGCTGGTGGAAAGCACAGGTCTGTGTCCCCGACTGCCCGGGAGCCTCCCAGCACAGGCAGCCCCTGGGTCGCAACTGGACCTGGACAGGGACACAGCGCCCCCTGGTGGCCAAGACTCCTGAGGCTCCAGGCCCAGGCCTCTAGAGTCCTGGTGGTTTCCAAGGACTTTCCCACAGTCCCCTTGGAATATCACAGAAATCCCTATGAAACAAAGAAGCTCAGATTTGTAATGAAGGAAAGGATGCCATGCTGGGCACCCAGAGTCGGTTCTAGCCATGCCCCTGACTCTCTGGGTGACCTTCAGTGTGCCCTGGGATTTGTTGAGCTGCCAAGGACTGGGCTTGGGTTTGCCAATGTAGGGAGTGGGGGTGCCTGCAGCAGCACCTTGACTGCTCGCCTCTTGGCCTCAGCTTGCTAAGGCCTTACCCATCAGGAAGTGCTTGCATGAATGAGTAAGCTGAAATCTTCCTCCCCATGGGTCTAGCATCCCTCCAGGCTTTGCGCTGTGTCCACACACATGCTGGAAGAACACCAGTCTCCATTCCCCCAACCCCCTTTCACCCATGGGATCTGGAGATGCCTTTTCCACATCCAGATGTCTCGTGTGCAGTGGGATTACTAAATCTGGAGCTCAGGGGGAGGTCTGCACTGAAGACAGACCTTTGGGGTCAGCACCGAGGGTCTGTGACACCTGGAGAATGACTGGCTTGCTGAGGCCAGTGGTTCCCAGCCTAGGCTGCATATTACAATCATCCGGAAACCCAATGAGCATTGAGGCCCAGACCCCACCTACCCAGACTGATGAACTCAGAGCCCCTGTGTGTGAAATGGATTTTTAAAATTGTTTATTCTCTTGGTAGGTCACTCACAGAACATGCATGGACAGTTTTACAGGCTTTCAGGAGATTCTTTGTGTAGCAGGGTTGAGCTACACTGTATCAGAGCCTAGGACCCTGGGAAGAACTCAGAGAAGGCCGCAGTAGAGGCTGGGAAAGAGAGTTATGAGGTAGGAGGAAAAGCAAGTAATGGGGGGTGTTTCAAGAACCAGAGCTGAGTGCTGCTGAGAAGTCAAAGTCCTTGTTGCTTTTGTTTTGGAGAATAACGTTGGTGACTCTAATAAGAGCCACATAATGGCATCATGGGGATGAAGGAGAGTTAATTGAGGGGAAACAGGGGTAAGAAAGTGGAAATGAAAGTAATCAACAACTCTTTGAAGAGTTTTTGCTGTGAAGAGGAACAGAGAAACAGGGAGGTGGCCAAAGGGGAATGTGAGGGCAAGGGAAGGTTTAAAATGTGACATTACAGAGCATGTTTGGGTGTGGCTGGAAAAGCCGCTGATAGGATGAATGGGCCCAGGAGAGAGCTGAAATTTCCAAGCTCTGAGGTGAGAGGAGCCGGGATAAGAGCATAGCTGGGGACAAACACTGTTGCGACTGTAGGGGTAGGAAGAAGACGGATGGATGCCAGTACACTTGCAGATGCAGTGGGAGAGCCTGACCTGTTTCCCCAACATGCCTGTGAGGAGACACTGGCTGGGGACAGACAGGAGGTTCTGGGGAGGAGAAAAGCTGCCCCTCTAGGGAACAGGGTCTCTGGTGGCAGGGAGCGCCTGCCCTGCACTGTTAAGGATGCAGTCAGCCTGCTTAAATGGGTTTTTTTGGCTATGGGCGGCTGTGTGCAGGCACAGAGGAGGTCTGGGCTCATCCAAGGCCAGGGGCTTTGCCAGACCAATAAGATGAAAGGAGAGAGAAGAGGGGAAGGGACTATGGATAACAGAGGGGATGGTGGGCAGAGGCCTGGAAGAGCCAGAAAAGGGTCCCCCGGTAGGTCGATGTGGCTAGGCAGGGGCAGTATTGGCCGTGCGAGAGGAAGTGAGCTGGAACGAGGAGGTGGCCAGAGGATGAGGCTTGGACACAAGAGAGCAAAAATTATGTGTCCGTCCTGAAAATGAGGTTCAGGATGTGCCAAGGGTGTGGGCAGCTGAGGTGGAGTTGCGGTGAGGGGCCAAGCAGCCAGACCCCTGGAGGCATGATGCTTGTGCGCATGGCTGGCTCCTAGGATGGCAACAGCAGCAGGAGCAGAGGAGGGAGCGCAGCATGGAAGTCTTCAGGAAACTTCTCTCCCCCTGGAATGTCGGCTCCTGAACAGGACCAAGGCTGTCCTGAACACGGCCATGTCCCCCAGTGCCTGGCACTGAGTAGGCACACAGCAAAACTCTCATCTAGGATGATGCCTGATACATCATTTGTTCTCTCTCCTTTACAGATGAGGAGACTGAGGCCGGGGGTTCCCAGAAGTATCTGCAAATTGTTGGAGTTTCAGCAGGGAACAAGTGTGTGGGGCGAGGGCGTCTCTGAAATCCCTTCCACTTGCTCCCCGCCCCCATTGCCTCCTCCCAGCTCCCCAGCTCGGGCCTCCGGGTCTCCAGTTGGGCCCTCATGTTGCTCCTTCCCCAGTCTGACAAACAAGCCTCGCGGTTCCCTCCGCCTGCCTCTTCGTGTCACTCTGGCCATGGGGGGCCACATGGAGTCCTAATGATCTCCATCCTGTCTGCTGCCGCAGTGGATTTGAGCCCATGGGTGGCAGGTCAGGCCCAGGTCACCTGTGCCCCTGGAACCGGCACAGGGCACTGGTGCTGGCCGCAATGAACATGGGCAGGGGCGTGTGCCGTGAGTGCCCCTGTTGGGCGCTGCTCTGAGCTTTATTATCTGCGAGTCTGCACACCGCATATGTGGAGGGCAGGGCAGGGCGGAGGTCCTCCACAGGTGGCCTGCCTCATTCCTGCAGGCCAGGGTAGACACAGGCGTGTGTCCACATGGGCCCACTATGTGCCCACCAGCCCACCCTCCTGTCCAGGGGAAGCACCTCTCCCCTCTGGCCACCACTCTGCTGGGTGTTCAGGGCCGGTCACAAGGGGCAGGGCCCTTCCTCCGCTCACGACTCAGCAGGTTCACCAGCTTGGCCTTGAAGCCTGCCTGAGGGTCAGGGCGGCCTGTGCCCTCTGCCTCATCCAGCTCCAGCAGCCGCCGGTACTGGGCTTCCAGACTGCTGTCGTGGGCCGGGCTGGGCCAGCTCAAGTCTTCGCCGTTGTGGTAGATGGGACTGGCTGTGGGGCTGCGGCCGCCAGGGCCCTCGTGCTGCTCAGGTTCCCCGCTGTGCGGTGTGGGGCTGGCCTCCAGCACACACAGGTTCTCATAGAGGTGCTCCGTGCGTGGGAGCCCACTGGCACGCTTGCACACTGAGGCGTAGAGCCCGGATGCCGGATCGCTGGGCTCCAGGCCTAGCAGTAGCGGCAGGCTCTGGGGTCCGGGCTCAGCCAGGGGCACCCTCCTGGAGGTGGGTGGCTCAGGTCCTGGTGGCATCTCCCGCAGCTCTCCGGGGGCGTCCAGGGAGGGCAGAGAGGTGGCCCGTGGCAGGGGGCAGGGCTGGGCCCTGGCCAGCTCTGGCAGTCGCTCCCGCTGGCGGGTGATGGCCCCAGCCACAGCCCTGCACAGGTCGGGGGCACAGGGGGTGTGGAAGGCAAAGAGGCCCTCACCCGAGTCGCAGCGGCGGCCGGCTTCAAAGGAGAACACGCCCTGGGCACAGGCGACACGGGTGGGGATTAGCAGGAGGGTCCAGGGTGTCGGCCCCCCACCCTTCCCACCCCTGCACCTCACCTTGTCAGAGCCGAACTTGCGTAGGAAGTGGTAGGGCCAGCTGTAGAGGACCTGGGTGACCTTGGCCTCCCTCAGCTGGATGGCATCTGGGCCCAGCACCAGCAGGGCCGGCCCCTTCAGCTGGCAGCGGATGGCGGCCTCGGTCCTCTGCACCACCACGGGAAACTCGCCCACTGCGGCAGGTGGCCAGGACATCCCAGTCAGTCCCCCAAAGACCCAGCCCTGGGTGTTGGGGGTGGAGGCTGCCCTTGCACCTCCTCCGACTTACCTTCCTGCCAGGAGGAGTAGATGGAGTTCTCCTCCATAGGGACCAGACCCCTCTTGGGAGACTGGGCATCTGTGGATCCTGAGGAGGCCTCCCCTGTTCCCTGGGGAATGAGTTCAAGTCAAAGGTGGGAGCACCACACTCCCATGCCCTGTCCCCTCCCTTGGGGTCAGTATCCCAGGACTCCACCACAAGCCAGGGTCCCTTCTGAGCCTGTTCTCCCACCTGGCTCCCCACTGAGAGTGCTGGGCTGGGAAAGAGGTGCGGTGCTTGAGGGTGTCAGAGCTGCAGATCACTGGGGACACTAGGGGATGTCCCCTGCAGCCCCTGGGCTTGGCTGGGCCGGCTTCTGCATGTCTCTGACAGCTTCGAGCAGTACAGGGACAGGAGTGTTCCGGCTGGGACACACGTGTGAGCTGGGCGGGGAGCAGCACCCCAGGTGTCTTCTTCCATCTCACTGCAACCACCTGCTACGACCCTGCAAGGTGCCCCCAATCTCTGCCTATGCCTCATCCCTACACCCAGGCCTTCAGTTGTCCTCTAGCTCTTTCCCACTCAGCCCGTCTACTAGGACCACCCTGGCCCATAGCAACACGGCCGGGTCAAATGCCACAGCTTCCTCACCGGGCTCCTTGCTCCTGTCAACTGCCTTTTTTTTTTTGAGATGGAGTCTTGCTCTGTCACCCATACTTGAGTGCAATGGCGAGATCTCAGCTCACTGCAACCTCCACCTCCTGGGTTTAAGTGATTCTCCTGCCTCAGTCTCCCAAGTGGCTGGGATTACAGGCGCCCACCACCACGCCTGGCTAATTTTTTGTATTTTTAGTAGAGACAGGGTTTTGCCATATTGGGCAGGCTGGTCTTGAACTCCTGACCTCAGGTGATCCACGTGCTTTGGCTTTCCAAAGTGCTGGGATTACAGGCGTGAGCCACCATGCCTAACCTCAACTGCCTTTTGTTTTTTTATTTTTTAAATATGATAAAATACAGAGAACATAACATTTACTGTTTTAACCATCTTACATTTTTGTTTGTTTGTTTTTTGAGACACAGTCTTGCTCTGTCAGCCAGGCTGGAGTGCGGTGGCACAATCTCAGCTCACTGCAACCTCTGCCTCCCAGACTCAAGCAATTCTCCTGCCTCAGCCTCTGAAGTAATAGCTGGGATTACAGGTGTGTGCCACCACGCCCGGCTAATTTTTGTAATATTTTTTTTTTTAGTAGAGGTGGGGTTTCACCATGTTGGCCTGGCTGGTCTCGAACTCCTGACCTCAGGTAATCCACCTGCCTCGGCCTCCCAAAATGCTGGGATTACAGGTGTGAACCACCACGCCCGGTCCATTTTACATCTTAAAGTGTATCACCAGTGCTTTTTTTTTTTTTGAGATGGACTTTTGCTCTCGTTGCCCAGGCTGGAGTGCAATGGTGCAATGGCGCCATCTTGGCTCACCGCAACCTCCGCCTCCCAGGTTCAAGTGATTCTCCTGCCTCAGCCTCCCGAGTAGCTGGGATTACAGGCATGTACTACCACACCCAGCTAATTTTGTATTTTCAGTAGAGACGGGGTTTCTCCATGTTGAGGCTGGTCTCGAACTCCTGACCTCAGGTGATCTGCCCACCTCAGCCTCCCGAAGTGCTGGGATTACAGGCGTGAGCCACTACGCCCGGCCACCAGTGCTTTTTAGTATATTCACAAGGTTGTGCAGCTGTTGCCACTGTCTAGTTCCAGAACTTTTCCATCATCCCACATGGAAACCCTGTACCCGTGAGCTGCCACTCCCCACTTCTCCCTTCCCCCAGCTCCTGGCAAGACTCATCTGATTTCTATCCCAACGGAGTTACCTAGTCTGTGCATTTCTTTTTCTTTTTTCCTTTTCTTTTTTTTTTTTAGAGACAGGGTCTCACTATGTTGCCCAGGCTGATCTTGAATTCCTAGGCTCAAGCAATCCTCCTACCAAAGTGGGGGATTACAGGCGTGAGCCACTGCGCCTGGCCTGTTTGTTCATTTTTATGGCTGAGTAGTATTCCATCTTGTGGACAGACCACGTTTTGTTTATCCATTTGTCAGCTGATGGCCATGTAGGCTGTTTCCACCTTCTGGTGGCCGTGAGTAGTGCTGCTATGGGGTTTTTTTTGAGATAGGGTCTTGCTCTGTCTCCCGGGCTGGAGTGAAGTGGCACGATTACGGCTCACTGCAGCCTCAACCTCTGGGGCTCACGCGATCCTGCCGCCTCACATGTACATGTTTTGTTTGAACACCTGTTCTAGTTCTCTTGGGCACACACCTAGGAGTGGGCCTGTGGGCCACATGGTAACTCTGTTTACCTCTTTGAAGAACCCCCAGGCTCACTTCCTTTTGACCCATCACAGACCTTGTGGGGCTTTACAAACGTGTCTGGCTACAACCCTCCAAAGCCTTCGCCTCACACTCAGAACAGAACCACATACATGGCCTGGGGCGTTTCAGCTGCTCCCCTAAGCTCCGTGATTTGGCTTCCTCCTGCACTCCTATCCTTCCAGCCATGTCGCCTTCTTTCTGCCCTTAAACACCCCACACTGTCCGACCTCGGGGCCTCTGCCCACGGGACTGCCTCTGTTCACAACTCCCCAGGCTGCCCCTGTCCTCAGACCTTTGCCCAGTGGGCTCCTGTCATTCAGGGCCCTCCTCTGAGAGGCCTTCCCTGACCACCCTGCCCGTCGCACCCTCAGTTCCTCCTGCTCCCCTGGCAGTCCATTTTCTCCACGGCGCGCGTGGCCCTCTGAGAGTCATTATAGATTTACTTTTCCCAGGATTGTAGGTGCTCGCTGGAGCTTGCTGGGTGGCGGGATGTGAGTGAGCATGGAGGTGGACAAGTCGGGGGCAGGTGCCCCAGCCCAACCACCCCCCTGCCCGCCGCACTCACCGGGAAGGCCAGCTGGCAGATGGGGCCCATCCAGGCCTGGCGGTGCTGCGCGGCCAGCAGATGGCTTCGCTCGGTGGTGGTGAGCAGGAAGGCACCGGTGTCCCGGGGGCAGCTCTCACCGTCGGCCGGCAGCACCGACACACAGTCAGCCAGGCGGATGACCCGTCGCTCCCCTCGCCGGCCAGGCCCTGCCGACCTGTCACCTGCTGCTCCCAGGCCACCATCCCGGACCTCCCAGCTCTCCAGCCGTGCCACGCCTGATGGGCCTCCTGCATACAGCAGAGCCCACACCTTCCGCCAGCACTTCTGCGGGAGAGGGGGGGGAGAGCGGAGACTCTTGGGTGGCAGATTCTCCGTGCCACTCGGTTCAGCACAAGCTGCTTGGCAAACGCTCCCAGCCAGGAGCAGGCCCCTGCTCCCTAGTTTCTCAGGGCGCCAGGAAGGAGGCCTTGGCTGGGCTTGGGACTGGTCAGCCCTGGGTTCAAATCCCAGCCCGCTCTTCCCGAACTGTGACCTCCACAAGCATCAGTGTCGTCTCTCAAAAGGCCACGAGAACACGAGTTGGGGCTGCTACCGGGTCATGTTTGTAAAGCCTCCAGTGGCCGGGCAGACCACCAGACACTGCCATTATGTTGGCTCCCTCTTGCCCCCAAAAAGGGGCACTTGGGCCACAGGCCAAGGGCTGGGGTGGGAGGGAGGCCTCCGCCTCACGCTGGTAAGGAAGGAAACATGCAAATAGCTTCGAGCAAAGGAAATCGACGGTTTATCTGCCTGGGCAGCAGCTGCAGCTGAGCTGCGGGGGTGTGGGGCCACTGCCGAGGAGAGGTGACCCCCCTGCCTCGCTGCTCCCAGGACAGTGCCGCTGCAGGGAGGGGCTCCACCCTTGGGACTCCAGCTCAGCCCCTCACCCTCCCTAGGGCCCGCAGTGGGTCAGAGGCTGTGAAGCTCTTCCCTGCTGGGAGGTTTGAGCCTTCGACCCTCTCCCGCTCCTGTATTCCCCGTCTCTCCCAGAGGCAGGGTCTGGCAGAGCCTGCTCAGCCCCTGCCATCTCTGGCCGAGACCCGTGCTCTGTTCCACTCCCCATACCTGGGGTGGGCTCCTTCACCCTGACTCCCTTCCCAAGTCTCCCAGGTCTGCCTGGGCTGTCCGAGGCAGGGGCGGAGGCTGCATTCTCCACCCACTGTTGGTCCTTGGCAGCTGCCTGGCAGCCAGGAGTCCCCACCTTGCCAAACTTGACATGCTGCTGGTAGAGGATGCCATCCTTGATAGGGGCGTCCACAGGGTCCATGGTCACGGCGGGGAGCAGGGCCGCTGCTTCAAGACCTGGGGAGACTGATGACAGGCTGGACGGGAACTCCTCACACTTCCCCTTCTGGCCACTTCCCGTCCTCCGTCCAGAAGCAGCTGCAGGCCGGGGGGAGGGGAACCTGTCTTCAGCTCGGGCTGGGGCAGCGTGGATTTCCTTCCTGGGGTTCTGGCTGCCCAAGGTGCCCACACCTACCTGGAGGGAGTCCCTGGCCGCCTGAAGGCAAACAGCCTGCGCCCGCACCTGGTTCAGCTGGGCATGAGCGTCTGGTGGCAGGCTGGCTCCCTGCGTCATGCGTTCCCGCCTTCCCCCGACCTGCCCTGGGCAGCTGTGCACCCTGGCCTGACACTCCCTGGCCGTGCCTCCAGCCGGGACCCTTCTCTAGCTAACTCCTGGCTTTCCCACTCGGCGTCCCAGCTTGAGCGCCTCACCCCATCTTGCTGCTCTTTCTCCCTGAAATCTCTCGTGTTCACCTGCTCCTCTCCACCCGACGAGCCGCTGAACGTTGGCAGCCTTGGCATCCCCCTGGGGGACACAGCCCCACTGGGGCCCCATGCAGCACTCGCCACAACCCAAGACCACCCCTGTCTTTCCCTTTCCTGGGCTGCAGCCCGGGCTCCTCAGCCCGACACTCCGGGCCCGTGTGTTCCGGCCTCCATCTCCCCCAGGCTCATTCCCCCAGACCAGCCCCTCCGGGCCTCCTCACCACTGTGCCGCCTGGGAAGGTGGGTCACCTCTTCCTCTTGGAGGCCTTCCCTGACCACTACACGCTGTCCCAGAGCACAAAGGCCCTCACGCTGGGTATCCAGTCCACATGGGATCCACACCCCTGAATGGCCCCAACCACGTGAGTGTGGGTGGCAGGTCCCAGTGGGCCCCGGAGAGGTCACATGTTCATTTAAAGCGTTGCTTCCTGCTGGGGGCTCATTTTGTTGGCTTGCCTAGCAGGAGACCAGTAGCGGGGCTGTGTGTGTGTATCTTTATTCTGGAACAGTCTCAGGTCATTCAGTGTCACCTCTGGGACAGAACATGGAAGCAGGCTAAGGAATGCCGTTTGGGCATGCACTTGGCCAGGAAATATTTCCTAAAGGCCTCCCAGCACCCGGCTCTGTGCCCACTGTGCCCAGGCAGCCCTGAGCTCCAGCCACCTCAGACACCATGTCCTTTGCATTCTCATCGCCATTTCAACAGTGAGGAAATCAGTGCTTAGAAAAATTAAGTAACTTGCCCAAGGCCACACACCAAGTGACAAATATGGCTTGAGCAACCGCCGTCCCACTGGAATGAGCATGTGGCCATACACACAAAGTGCCCGGTTCAGAGGAAGTGTGGCCGCCTGTGCCGTTCCCTGCCTACCTCTCGCCAGATGCCGAGATCCTGCTTCATCTGCCAGCGGTCTTGTGACTGCCGTCCACATTTCTGTGTGTGCATCTTTCTCTCCCCTCGCCTGAGAGCTTCCCAGGTAGCCATCTCCCTGGCCCGTCTAGATCCTCACAGCTCAGCAGAGCTGGGCACAGAGCAGACTTAGGGGGAGCTTGTGGCCTGAACGGCAGTTCTATGACATCTGCTGCCTCCTCAGTCAACAGAGCAGAGGGCTTCCTACAGGTGGCTGGCGCAGGCAGGCAGTGGGTGGGGAGCCTCAGGCAAGCAGCAGCCCCCCAAGGGGCTTCAGGAGAAGCCCCTGAAACATCACACCACTGACAGGAAGAGTGAGCCCGAGAGCTGTGACAGCTGGCCAGGGAGACCAGAGAATCCAAGCACTTCTCCTTGGCCTGCCAGTGTGGTCCCTCCTTGAGTCATAAATTCACACACCCCAATGGAGAGATGCTGAGTCCCCAGACGCTGGCACCAGCTCGGTGGCTCCTTCCATGCCCAAGTACCAGCAGGCCGGGTGTTGGCAGTGCTAGCGGGAGACGCTGGGGCCTTGCCTCAGAGGGGCTCCAGAGGTCAGAGGTGATGTCTGCCCCAGGAACCAGGGGGCGGATGAGATGAAACACAGAGGCAGGGCCACGGCTGGGATAGAGGTTTGTGCTTTAATGGCAGCTGGGGTGAAAGGAAACAAAAATAGTAATTCTGAGGAGCACAGGGAACAGGCAACCAGGACCAGTCTGGCCCAGCCCAGGCCAGCCGAGCTGAGATGCTGGTTCTGTCCAGGGGGCTGCTGTGTGTGTAGACTGGCGGCAATCTTGGGGACTGAGGCCCCTTGGAGAGGAGGGAAGACCATCAGGTCAGAAGTCCATGGAGCTGTGGGCCAGGTAGTCCTTGCGGCCGATGTTGCTGACCTGCTTGGTCTGCATAGCCTCGAGTTTGGGGCAGTCGGTGATCCGATGGCCCAGGCCCCCGCAGAAGGCACAGCCGCGCTCTCCTGGGGGAATGGGGACAGGGATCAGCCAAGTCAAGGGCCAGGATCCATGCCCTGGACCTCAGGCACCCTGTTAGGCACCCTCGGTCCCTGTTTCGTGTTTCTGAATTCCAGCACCCCCTCCTGCCACCCGCCGGCTGGGGACTCAGGGATCCCGCTCCACAGTCACCTCCAATGTCCAGCATGGACTCGTCCCCGCAGTGCAGCACCTGCAGCACAGGCGGCACCTTCTGCCTGGCTTCCAGCAGCAGCGCTTTCAGGTCCATCAGCACTGACTCATCTGGTGGAGGAGTGGGGAAGCATCAGGGCCCATCCTGGGCCCTGTGGCCAGAACCTGGGTGGCCATAGGCAGGGGACCCGGGGAATAGCTAAGGTGGCTCTGGTGACAGACTCACCACAGGCTTTGTTGATGAAGGTAGTGGCGATGCCTGTGTTTCCCGAGCGCCCGGTGCGGCCAATCCGGTGTACTGTAGAGAGAGGGACAGACTCTGGCCCACTGCTGGACACCAGGTGCCTGGCTTGGCCCTTCCCCAGCCTAGCCCATGCCCTTGGGCCCCAGGCCCCTACCATAGTTCTCAATCTCCTCCGGCATGTCATAATTTATGACGTGCTGGATGGCAGGGAAGTCCAGGCCCTTGGAGGCAACGTCTGTGGCTACTAGGACATCCTTCTTGCCCTCCCGGAACGCCTCGATGGCCTTAGTCCGTTCCTCCTGGTCTGGGGAGGGTCAGGCAGACACTGTCAGAGCCACCACGGGATAGGGGAGTGGCAGGCCGCCCAAGTAGGGGAAGGCGTGAGGTAAAGCGCCGCTATTGCGGCAGGGTCCAAGCCAGTGTGTGCACTACCCTGACCTTTGCCCCCATGGATGGCTACGGCCTCAACCCCCTTGAGCAGCAGGTACTCGTGGATGGCGTCCACGTCTGCCTTCTTCTCTGCAAAGATGAGTACCTGTCCGGAAAGACAAACTCCAGTCAGGGGCTGACTGCCTGGGCACCCACCTCACCTCCCCCGGCACTCCGTCCCCTCCAAAGCCCTGCCTGGTCCTAGGGACTCTGGCCCCAGCCTGGCCTGGCCGCACTCACAGGCGGCGGCGTCTTCTGCAGGCACTCGAGCAGGTACACCATCTTGGCCTCCTCCTTCACGTATTCTACCTCCTGCCACCACAAGGTGATCTTGAGGTTAGGTTTACCCGCCATAGCCCTGCCACAGCCCGTCATCTGGACCATGAGGTGACCAGAAGCCTCTGGCCGCCAAGGGCTGGGTGTCCTAAAAATTTCCCTGGTTAAGGGTCAGGGGCTTTGAACGAAACCCCCAGTTCCCACAAGGTAGACCCCCGGCTCCAATCAGCTTCAGGGAGCCTTATCAGATCCAGCCCCCACAGGTGAGAGACCGCCCATCAGGAGCGCCGGCCCACCTGGATGACATCCAGGCTGGCAGCCCCAGCACGCCCCACGTTGATGGTGACAGGCTTTACAAGGGCACTCTTAGCAAAGTTCTGAATCTTCTTCGGCATGGTGGCACTGAAGAGCAGGGTCTGTCGCTGGCCCTGAGGAAGTGGGGGGGTTGCGACCAAGGGCACGCAGGGCTGGGCTGAGGGGCATGGGGTCTGAGGAAGCTGAGCAACTGAGACACAGCCCACGAAGTATGAGCAGTGGGTGGTGTGGTCAGAGGCGTGGGGTCTCCACAGTTTGATGTGGTGTGCAGTGGTGGGGTGGTGTAGGGGTGCCCTGGCTGGGCGGGGGCAGGCACCTTGAAGTAGGAGAAGATGGTGCGGATGTCGCCCTCGAAGCCCATGTCGATCATGCGGTCAGCCTCATCCAGGGCCAGGTAGCGACAGATGTCTAGGCTGACCATCTTCTTCTGCAGCAAATCCATGAGGCGCCCTGGGGTGGCCACCATCATGTGTACACCGCTGGGGACCAAGCAGAGACCCTGAGGTTGGGGCCACTGGCCTAACAACTACCTAAAGGCAAGCAGACACCCTGCATCTGTTCTGCTGTCTGTCCTCCTTCCTATTTCTTTGTCCCCTTCTCATCGTTCCCACCACCTGCCCTATGTATAGCACACAACTCTCTCCCAAGGCGCTGCAGCCATCTTTACCACCGCTCAGCCTGGCACGCCCTTCCCCCTTCTCCTGGGTCAGTCCTCTCACCCAGAAGCGCTGTCCTGAAGCTCCAGAGGCTTTACTTGGGGCTCACTTTCCTGGTCCCCTGGCTTCATCTTTTCTGTGCCCACATCTCCCTAAGACTCAGAAGTCCATAGAGAAAGGCCTCTGGGATGGGGTCTGGCCCATCTGTAAACAGAGGGCCTGGTCCAGGGCCTCTGGCGGTCTGCAGAGGACTGCACAGCACGGAAAGGACACAAGTGCCACTGGGATCCAGCCCTACCCCAGTGCCTCAACCTCCTTTACTGACCACTGAATGACCCTGACATTCCTGGGCCGTCCACCTCTGTGTTTTCAGCCTGGACTGCTCCTCTTGCAAATTCAAACGTCACCTTCCCTGCAAAGCCTGCTCTGAGCTCCCACCTCCCAGATGTCCCCAGCAAGGTGCACCATTCCATCTGCTGTGCTCCCACAGCACCGGGCCACATCCCTCTGTCCTCCCCCAACTGACCTCCCCATTAGACTGGGAGCTCCTTGAGGGTTGGACTCACAGCAGCCCTCTGTGAAGATGTGTGGAGTGGCTAAGGTAAAGGGTCCTTTAGCTTTAGCTTTTCCACGGACTTGCAGGTGGCAGAGGTGGGGGCAGGGAGTGCCAGCACTCACTGTCGGATGGTCTCCATCTGCTCCTTCACGGACATGCCCCCAATGCAGAGCGCGCAGCGCAGGAGTGGTGAGCTGTCCTCCTGCAGCAGGCGGCAGTAATACTCCAGGATGCCATGGGTCTGCCGGGCCAGCTCCCGCTGCAGGCAGAGGGACAAAGGCTGGTACCAGATGGCAGCCCCAGTCTCTGGCCTGCCCTCCGGGCCAGCCTGTCTTACCGAGGGGCATATGATGAGTCCGTAGGGCCCCTCGCGCTTTGAGAAGGGTAACCTCTTCTCTTGTTCCAGGCAGAACATGATGACAGGCAACGTGAACACCAGTGTCTTGCCTGAACCCGTGAAGGCGATGCCTATCATGTCACGGCCAGATAGACTGTTGGGAGAGGATGACCCGAGAGCCAATTTCAACAGAAGATGAAGGACACCTAGCCATTGCTCCTCCCCGTTCCCGCCCTCCTCAAGGACCCCAGGTCCACAGTCCACACTCACATGGTGGGGATGCCCTGGATCTGAATGGGTGTTGGGTGGTGAATGCCTTTCTTCTTCAGGCCTCTCAGGATGGCTGTGAAAACCAACAGACATCGTCCTTGTGACTCACAGGTACTTTCTCAGAGCCCCAAAGCCTGTAAAACTGGCACTATCCCTACAAGTTGCAGATGATGAAACTGAGGCTCAGAGCAAGAGAGAGAGAGGGAGGAAAAAAAAAAAACAAAAAAGAGACTTGTCCAAGGCCCACAGGCTAGGTGCAGCCAGGACTTGTACCCAGTGCCTATGCCCAATGGCACTTTCCTCCTGAAGCTTCGTAACAGCAGAGAACAATGAACATGTACAGCTGGGGCAACAAGGAACCTAAAGAAACTTCTCCTCAAATCCCTCCAGCCCCAGTGACTGGATCCAGTGCAGATGTGGCTGAACTCAGGGTGGGCTCGGACATAACCCCACAGGCATTTGATTATAAAAGTGTGGGATCTCTCTCCGCTCCCTGACTACCTGCAGGAAACTTCATTTCCTTGAAGCTCTTGATGGGTGGTGGGATACCGTCTCCCTCCACCAGGATGTGGTATTTCTTCCGCACGCGCTCATGTCGCTCTTCAGACATGCTCAGGACATAACGGGGCGGAGTCCAGCTGTGGATGGGTAACAGGGATCAAGAGAGCTCTGGGAACAGCTGGCCTGGGAGCAACCCTGCATGTACCATCCTAAGCAAGGGCAACTGCAGACTGTACAAACATACCTGGTTTTGATGGGGTCATCATATGTGATGCCCTTGGCCATCTCCTTCACTGACATCAATGCTGAGGAGAAAGACATGGCTCAGGACTGGCTCCTACTTCTGAGAAGCCAGATCCCTTGAGATATAACATGCCTGGGGCTGGGAGGAGGAGACTCAGTCTACCTTCTCACTATCCTGGCTACAACCATACCTCGGCCCTCAGCCACACTCTCCAGGATCTTCTCTTCTTCCTTCAGCTGCTTCTCCTTGGCAGACTCTTTGCGGGCTGAGAAAAGAAGTGGAAGATGTCAGACAGATACCAACACGGTGCGCCAGGCTCGGCTTCTCCTTTCCCGCCCCGGCAGTGCTGCCCAGCCCACCTTCAGCCTTCTCTTTAAGGTGCTGGTGCTGATCCAGGAGGCTGACGTTGGACTGAGGGCCTAGCGGGATGTCGTCCTCATCTCCCCGGGGTTCACTACCGCTGTCCTGCTGCTCTTCCTCCGCAGCTCCCTTCCGTCTTCGCTGCAGCAGCTTCTGGAGCTGAGGTTCCACCCGGGCCCCACAGATAGAATGGGAATGGGGTCCACAGGGCCAGCGTCAGGATCCTGGCTTTGGGACGAGGATCCTGTGCCCGAGGCGCAGAACCGCACTACCCCTCAGATCAGGCCGTCGGTCCCCTCGTTTGTCTGGGGGCCGCGCCCCGGTGTACTGAAGCTCACTCCTCAGACTGCCCTCCCTACGACCGGCGGTCACGGCCCCATCCCTCCCCGGACGCGGGCCCCTCACCAGTAGCTGCCGGCGCTGCCGTAACGGCACATAGGGCACGTAGTCCTCGTCGTCCTCATCCTCCGCCTCGGAGCGGCTTCCTCCGGCAGGCACCTCGTCGGTGCGAGCCCGCTGCAAGCACACGTAAGTCAGGCACGGCCTGCTCCCCACTTCACGCCCGCTCTCACCCGCGAGGAGCCTCGCCTCTCTCCTACCTTCCGTTCGGGTTCCGACTCCTCCATTTTTTGCTGCACGCATGCGCGCCACGGCGAAACCCCGCCTCATCTTTGCGTGGGACCCAATCCGATGTGAAGAAGCGAACGTCGGCGCCTAGCAACGACCTCGGAGTTCCGGATCGCGCAGAGGGACAAATTTGCTCCGGAGCTGCTCTCGCACGGCGAAGCGTCGACGCTTTCATGGGTGGTTACGCGACAGTTGCCAGGACCGAGGGCGAAACCGGCCGCAAGGCATTGTGGGACACCGGAGGACTTGGAGCATGCGCTAAAAGGCTCAACCCAGGCCCGCTGGAAGAGGAAGACGCACGCAGCGGAGACGGCTGATCCGGAGTCGGGGCGGGCCGGCGGGTGCCCAACCTCTCCCTGAGCATGGCGTCTTGGGCACGCCCCTACCGGCGGACAGTGCGTCCTCTAGGGCCGGGAGCGCTGGGCCGAGTCCGCGTGGGCCGCCTGCGCTTCCATCCCTGCCAGGGCCGCCGGGGTTGCGGGATAAACCGCTCCACGCACCCTGCCGCCCTGACTGCGCCTGTGTGACACCTATGTTCAGTGGTGGGGGACGCATCAGAAACGGATGGCAGTGGTTTTGAACTGGGAGGCCCTGTATAAACGTAAACGGTTATTACTGTAAATGCCCTAACAGAGCTGCCTGGGGGGCGCTTCCAGGGAAGCGTGGGAATCTCAGGCTGGGAGAGGAGAGGCGTCCTGGGCCAGGGCGCTGCAGGAATACAGGTCTGGCGATGTGCAAGTACACAGATTCACCAGGCAACAGCATTGCGGCTAGGGTGGGATGGGGAAGCCGGAGCTAAGGCCAGAAAAGGAGATTGCGACCAGAGCATACCTGCTGTGACTCTCAGAGTAAGTGGTTTCAACTTTAATATTAGAGACTTCTAAGGAGGAATGACTTGGTCAGCTCTGTGCTTTCTTTCCTTCAAAAGTGTGTGCTGGGCATTGGTACTGCGCTCAAGCAGATGATAATCAAGACACATACCTGGTGTGCGAGGAGCTTATGGATTAGTTGACACTAGAAATATAGACAGATAACTGGTCTTGAAGTTAAAGATCCTGGGGGCCGGGCGCGGTGGCTCACGCCTGTAATCCCAACACTTTGGGAGGCCGAGGCGGGCGGATCACGAGGTCAGGAGATCGAGACCATCCTGGCTAACACAGTGAAACCCCGTCTCTACTAAAAATAAAAAAATTAGCCGGGCGTGGTGGCGGGCGCCAGTGGTCCCAGCTACTCGGGAGGCTGAGGCTGGAGAATGGTGTGAACCCGGGAGGCGGAGCTTGCAGTGAGCCGAGATGGTGCCACCGCACTCCAGCCTGGGTGACAGAGCGAGACTCCATCTCAAAACAAACAAACAAACAAAAAACCTAAGACAAGGTACCGCTTTTGGAAGTGTCATAGTTTTCATAGTACAATGGCCTCTTAGCTGGGATATGAAGGATATACAGGAATTCATGAAAAACGGGGAAAATTAAAGGAGGAGGAAAATATGTGAAAGTTGGGAGACCTGCGGTTGTGAGACCTTACTGGAGAGGAAGGTCGTCCAGCATGGCTGGAACAAGTACTGGAGTCAGGGGCCCAGGCACGGAGGTCCCAAATGCCACAGAAGTCATGGTAGATGGGCTGCTTGATCAGACCTGCAAATTTTGAATGAAGCAGAATTTTAGGTAGTGTTGCCAATTCAACTGCAGGGCAGGAGTGTAGTACAAGAGCCCATGGGAGAGGGGAACACAGCCAATAAATTTACAGAGAAAGGTTTCACAGGGATTTCACAGCGTCCACATTTCCCTTGGGGATTGGGAAAGGCCAGGGACCAGGAATTGTGAGTCTGTGGGCACTGCTGTTCTTTTCTTTAGTAAAGAAAGCTTAGGCTGGGCACAGTGGCTCGTTCCTATAATCCCAGCTCTCTGGGAGGCCAAGGCAGGAGGATCACTTGAAGCCAGGAATTCGAGGCCAGCTTCGACAACATAGCAACACCCCCCATCTCTGTAAAAAAAAAATAAAGAAGCTGGTGCTTACTGCCAGTCCCTTGGTAGGTCTCAACCTGGGAGGGATGGAGGAGGATACATGGTTTCTGGTCCTGCTCACAACACCCAAATACATGACTCTTAGTGACCCTGTTAGCTCCCCACATAAATTTGAGTTGGTTGTAGGAGCAGAAACTAAATTTTGGGGCATGGAGTTTGGACACAAGTGTGTGAGGGGCATTTTGGGCAAACTCATTATATTAAAATCCAAATTTACAAACCAGATCCATTTCAGGGGATGAGGTAGTTTGCTTGACTTTACATAAGAGTTCATTATCCTCTTAACTCTCAAGTCCTCAGCTACATGTCCCACCCCCACTGGAAAATCAGATCTAATTTATTTATTTTTTATTTTTTTTTTGAGACAGAGTCTTGCTCTGTCACCCAGGCTGGACTGTAGTGGCCGGATCTCAGCTCACTGCAAGCTCCACCTCCCGGGTTCACGCCATTCTCCTGCCTCAGCCTCCCGAGTAGCTGGGACTACAGGCGCCCGCCACCTTGCCCGGCTAGTTTTTTGTATTTTTTAGTAGAGACGGGGTTTCACCGTGTTAGCCAGGATGGTCTTGATCTCCTGACCTTGTGATCCACCCGTCTCGGCCTCCGAAAGTGCTGGGATTACAGGCTTGAGCCACCACGCCCGGCCTAATCAGATCTAATTTATAAAAAAAGCTCAATTTACCCCCAACTTCCCCTGACTGTGTGAAGTCAGTGTGAGGGGCCTTGATGGCCCAGGCTACAGATCCTCAGGGTCTTTCCTAGACCTCTTCTGACATCCAGATGCACCGAGACCAACTTCAACCCCTCCAACTCACCCATCTTGCAAAGAGGGAAACAAGAAAGAGTGGGGAAGGGGCCGCCCTAGGCTCACATACCAGAGACCTCCCAACAGGAGAAAAGGGCATAGATGCCAGAGTCATACCAGCCTGTGCTCGAGCCTAATCGGCTAGACTGATTTCAGCTCAGTCACTTTACTATTGGCTTCAGTTTCCTCACCTGTAAAATGGGACAGCAGTACCAAACTGCTGATGCATGGCACATGCTAGGGTTAGTGACTAAGGGAGAGCCCATGCTTCTGAGCACACCCTCGACTCCCTCCCCGCCCAGACCCGCAAATCACCAACATGCCAACTCTGTGTCCAAATGTTGCTTTATCTTTCGGCATGAAAGATCTTCACAGTATCAAAAGTAAAGAATTGGAAAAAAATAAAATAAAAACAAAAACAAAAAAACTGAACACAAAGAGAGCAGTGTTGGGCTAGCAGTACCATCAGCCCCGGCCCTTAGGCCAGCCCAGTCCACGGGCTCTGAGTGTGGAGGCTGCGTAGCACCAGGAAGCGGCTCTGCTGAGGTCAAGGGGCCCCAGCACAGTGTGGCATCCGTTCAGCTTTTGGTTGGTCCAGGATGGTGGGGAGCAGAGAAGGTCTTGGGCGGATAGGTGGGGCACATGGAAAAATTGTAGGCCTTCAGCTGGCAGTCGGGGCCTCAGGACGCCCTGAAGAAGCTCAGCCTGGGCAGGGCCTGAGAAAGAAAAAAAGAGCAGAATCACAGTCAGCGATGGCCCATGCTCCAGCCTCCCCATGCCATTTGGGTACCCATGGGTCTCTGGTAGCAGGAACAGCTGGCTGTTTTTGTTCCCTGGGCTGAAAATGTTGAACAGATTCCCTGAATCACCTGTAGCAGAGGAGGCAGGTTAATGGGTTGGGAGACAAAGCCCCAGTCCTGGGATCCTGACAAGGTGTGGGACAATCCTTGAGTAGATCCAGCCTTTGGCACTTGCTGTCCATCAGCAGGGGCCAGGAGGCCAGCTATGCAGCTGTGCTCCTGCCTCTGACTCCAGGTACACAGCCGGGGGGAGGGTGAAGAAGGTCAAAGGAGAGCACTTTCTAGGGGGTGGGGAGAGGGGCATCTGCTATCTTGGAAAAGAGGCCAGACCAGGTGAAAAAGGGTCAAGAGGAGGGAGTGGAAGGAGACAATTGCGTTTGATTTCTTGGATGACAGAACTGGGCTTGTAGGAGGAGATGCGATCTCTTTTCTCTCAGTAGGGATAACAGAGGAAGTGCCTGGGGTTCCTGCTACTCCTGGTTCCCATGGAGGTGGAGAAGAGAGGCGGGATGGCACCCTGGATCTGGAAGATGCTTCTGGGGCTTGTGGGCATCTCAATTTGACAAAGGGGGCTGACTGAGCCCAGCCCCCTCCGAGCAGAGGAGAACTAAAGTGAGCATAAAGACTCTGGACTCTGGGGCGGCACAAGGGTCATAGGGAGCCCTAGCTCTGAAGGCTGTCCTGGCTGCAGGCTCTCTGAGCTGCCCTTGGGGAGCTGAGGGTCCAGGAAGTTTGCTGCTTAGGCCCAGAGAGGAGCTGGCCTGGCACTGGAAAGAGGAGAAAGACAGGTGGGGCCATCATAGGAGAAGCGAGTTGTTTGTGAGCTCAGTCTGCCTGCCCCAGCCTTCTATAGTCTCCAGGACAGCTATGTGGTTGCCAGCCAGAAAAGGCCTGACCCCAGGGATGCAGCTGAGGATTGAGATATGAAACTGCAGAGCCACTCAGCCCCCAGCCCAGCCTAAGGCCTGCCTGCTAGCTGCCCTTCTCTTCATCAGTAGGGTTCCAGGCCCAGTGCCTTCTCCAGTTTTCTGTTCCCAGTCCAGATCATCATCTGGTACATCATTGTTTCAGACAAAAGGACCTGTGTGGGTGGCTGGGAGAGGATTCCAAAGCCATTTGGCACCCAGGTCTCTTCTTATAGGAGGCAGTGTGGCTACCAATATCCTCATGGAACTTGTCCTGCTTTGGGGAGCTGCCATCAACTCCTCCATGCCTAAATGACCTACAAGCCTTCGGCCCAGCCCATCTGCACCCCCACGATGTTCACTCAGGGCTGGCCCCTTCTTACACTGCTTCAGCTAGGAAGCACCTTGGTAGCCTACACTGAGGAGCCCAGGGCAGGAAGTGGGACTTGACACAAGGACTGATAACATCAGGGGTGAGGACAGCCCCCATGGGTCTGATGGCTATCTGGGCACTTTTGAAAGCAGCTGGTAAGACCCTGCTGGTGATGCCCTAGGAGATGCCAGTCCAGGAAGGGGACCTTCAGGAGCATGGGCAGGAGGGCCCAGGGAGGAGTAATAGGAGAACAGAGGCCTACAGGTGAGTGGCTGTAGGAGGAGATGGGGCCTAGATCTTTGGAGGCTGTAGCCAACTGTGCCATTGCTGTGGAGGTGCAGACAGAGGCCAGGGCTCCCACGCCCAAAGCCCAACTCCCTATGCCCCAGAGCACAGAATGGTCTGGCGGGGGTATAGAGTGTGGCCAAGCACAGGGAGAGGCAGTGGATGTAACTCTTGCGATCTCTGTACCTCACTGAGCTGTGCTGGGAGTGGTTTTCTTGAGGCTGAAGTTGGTCCAGTTCACAGCAACTTTCTGACGAGTCTGCTTTGCAGAATCCAAACAGAACCTGTTGGGTTTAGGGGACACAGGAGAAGCACAATCAGAGGTTCCTTCTCTTCCTCACTGGACTCCTAAGGTACCAAGTCCCCATCACTAAGAAACCAGGTTCTCTACACAACCTCTTTGGCTCTCAGGTGTTAGTGTTTAGCAGGCATAGGAGCTTTGCTGGCTTGGTGGCTTCTGGACTGGGTCCAGGGGACAACGTATGAAGACAGTGAAACTGCCTTGGGATTCTACTTCCTTCCTCATCTGGTATTTGACTCTCTAGCTCTGCTGGGCTGGCTTCCATCATTCCCTTAAGTACAGTCGTCCCTCTGAATCTGCTGGGGATTAGCTACCCAGATGTCGAAATCTGCAGATGCACAAGTCCCTTATATAAAAAATGGTGTGGTACTTGCATATAACCTGCATGGCTCTTCCCATATACTTTTATTATTATTATTATTATTTTTTAATAAGAGATGGGGTCTCACTATATTGCCCAGGCTGGTCTTGAACTTCTGAGGTCAAGCGATCCTCCCACCTTGGCCTTCGAAAGTGCTGGGATTACAGGCGGGAGCCACTGTGCCTGGCCTTCCCATATACTTTAAATCATCTCTAGATTACTTAAAATACCTAATACAATGTAAATGCTATGTAGTTACATTTTTATTTTTATTTATTTTTGAGACAGAGTCCTACTCTGTTACCCAGGCTGAAGTGCAATGGAACAATCTTGGCTCACTGCAACCTCTGACTCCCAGGTTCAAGCGATTCTCTTGCCTCAGCTTCCCAAGTAGCTGGGATTACAGGCACCGCCACCATGCCTGGCTAATTTTTGGATTTTTATTAGAGACAGGGTTTCACCATTTTGGCCAGGCTGGTCTCAAACTCCTGACCTCAAGTACCTCAAGTGATCCGCCCCCCTTGGCCTCCCAAAGTGCTGAGATTACAGGCATGAGCCAACGCCTGTAAAAATACATATTTTTTTGAGACAGAGTCTTGCTCTGTGGCCCAGTCTCAGCTCGCTGCAGCCTCTGCCTCCCAGGTTCCAGCGATTCTCCTGCCTCAGCCTCCTGAGTAGCTGGGATTACAGGCACGTGCCACCATGCCTGCCTAATTTTTGTATTTTCAGTAAAGACAGGGTTTCACCAAGTTGGCCAGGCTTGAACTCCTGACCTCAGGTGATCTGCCTGCCTCGGCCTCCCAAAGTGCTAGAGTAAGAAGCATGAGCCACTGTGCCTGGCCGAAAATACTAATTTTAAAAATTTTGCATTATTTAGTAATGTATTGCTATTTTTTTTTCCCTGAATATTTTTGATTGCAGATATGGAGGGTGACTGTATGCTGTGTTTCTTTCACCCTAATCTTCTGTACTCACTGCCCCCCTTGGCATGAATACCTTTTCATCTTGTCTGGCCAACTCATTCTTACTCTTCAGGTTTCAACTTGGTTACCACCTCTCCTGGGAAGGCCTCCTGGCCAGCCCCCACCCCTTCTATCCTCCCCAACCCTATGCCATGTATCAGTAGGCTGCATGTTCATGGCCATCTAGACTCCTGGTCCAGACTGCTTCACTGACCTCAGTCCAGGCAAAGCAGAGAATGTGCAAGTGAAGACACAAAGTGAACATAGCTGGAAAAAGTCCTGGTTCTGGGGGCCTGACATGCCTCCTCCTGTCTCTCTTGCACATTCCTAGATGCGCCATCCTGCCCAGTTGCTCCGTGGATTTTCAGCAGGCAGGCTGGTGGGAGAGGGCCTGGGGTGGGGGGTGGTGAGCCTCCCCAAGGGGTCAGGGCCAAGGGAGCAGGCCTTTTTGAGGCTTGAGGCACAACACGGGGCTTGAGTGTGGGCAGGACCTGGAGTCCTCCACAAGTGGGAGAGCAGGCAGCCCACACCTACCTCTTAAAGTACTCCACCTCTCGGTCAGTCTCATCCATCTCCACCCCGTCCATGTCCTTGGGCAGGAACACATCGTCTAGGAAGACACAGCCAGGAGGGCTCAGTGCCCATGGCCAGGCCTCTGGGGTTATGCTCTGGGGGCAGCACTGCCTACACACAAAGGCTGCCCCTCCACCCCGTGGCCTGGCTGGGGTAGGGGTCAGCCGCTCGGTTCCTGGTGCACTCACCCAAGGAGGAGGCTGGCTTCTCCTGCTTGTTGCGGCTCCGGCGGCTGCGGCCCTTGCCCTGGGGCAAGCTCTGTGGCCTTGCTGGGCCTGGGGGCTGCACAGACTCCTGCTCCTGAGGCCGTGCCTTGGCCTCGCCTGGCCAGTTTCGCCAGGAGCTGCCCTTCTCCTTCTCAGTTTTGGGGCTGCCAGCCCAACCTGGTCCTGGCCGGCTCCCCCGGCTCCCCTCTCCAGCCTCGGAACAGCTGCCTACTTTGGGAGGCTCTAGGACCTTGCCTGGCTGCTTGGGGCCAGCAACCTGGCCCTTGGCACTGGGAACCTCTAGGCTGGCTGGGGGCCGGGGGGCTGGGCTTGCCTCGCTCTTCTTGGCCTGACTGCCCTGCCTCTTGCCCTTCCGCGGCTTCCCACCTGAGGACACAGGCTCAGGCAGCTCCTGCTTGCAACTGGGAACTTCCTTTGAGCTTGGCTCCTCGGAGCTGGGGTAGCCCGGCTTGGGTGTCTTGACCCAGATCACCCGGGACAGGTTGGGCACGGTGTTGAGTCTCCTCACGAGCCCGTTCTCGGGAGCGATACCAGGAGGGGGCCCCCTCACCTCTGTCCATGGTGGGTGGGGGCCTCTCATTTCTGCCCATGGTGGGGCTGGCTCGCCTGGAGCTTGTAACGTGTGGTTCTGAGGGGAGCCCAAAGTCAAAGGGGACAGGTCAAGGTTGATGTCAGGCTGCTGCTCTGAGGAGCCACTGAGGTTTGATGGGGGTAGACTCTGAGGCTCGGGTTCAGCAGCCCCCTCCTTAGAGAAGCCATTGCTGTCCATGCTGAGCTCACACACACTGAAGCTGGCACGGATGGAGTCTTTGACAGTGTTTTTGATCTCCTGCAGACGGCTGCTCAGGAAGCTGTTGACCCGATCCAGTTCCCGGTCGGGCCACTCCAAGAGCCTCTCCCTGGCAGGCCTTTGCTCCCGGCTTCCAGAAACACGATTCGCCTGCTTTAGAGCTTCTGCTGCCAACTGGGCCTTCTCCTTTTCCTGCCAAGACAAGAGGCAGTTTTAGCAGGGGCTGTCAACTGCCAGGCACAATGTGATACCTGACCCATCAGCCTGGGGCCCAGCTTTGCCACTAACTTGCTGGAGGCAAAGCCTTAAAATCCTAGCCTGCTTACACACCCTGCAGGAGTGACAGCAAACTGCAGCCAGACAGGTGCATGTCCTGGGGGCAGGGGTACAGTCACACCCACAGAGGGTAGGGTTTTTACAGCTTGTTTACCCAGAGCCCCAGTCTCAGTGGACTCATCTGCAAAATGGGGACAATAATTTCGGAGTAAAGCCAAAGTGGGGATGCATGTGAAGAAGACCACTACTAGAGAGGCATTCTCTCTACCCCTGCGCTTGGGAGGGAAAAAGCCATGCCATCACGGGGTCTTACAGCAGGCAGGTGTCGGGGTAGATGAGACTGCTCTGGTTGGGAGGACATGTGCCTTCCTGATACTATATCTGGGTATTACTAAAGAGGACAGTGTTCCCATAGAAAGGCCAGTTGCTACACACTTGGTCTCAAGTAATCAAGGCCACATCTAGAGTGTGCCCAATGGCATGCCATGGACAACCACACTGGCCTACACAGCCAAGATGTGAGAGCTGCTCCTTTGCCCAGGTGAGGCCTGGAAGGCTCAGAGAGGCCAGGCCCTGCTGGTTGGCTTTGATAGACCTGGATCTAGGGAATCAAAATGAAAGTCTATGGGATCTGAGTCACCCCAACCTCTCCATCCCACCTCAAGGCCAACGACGCCTTTAGAGGGAGACAGGAGGCAGATACCAAAACCCTCGGGAAGGAGGTGGCTGTGGTGTGCCTGGCACCACTGATTCCCACTGCCTCCTGTACTTCCAGCTGATTTGGGAATGGAGGAAAAGAACATGAAAGGGCAGCTGGTGAGAGAAACCAGGGCTTGCTACCACCTCAGAGTCAATGTAAAGAGGGTGGCCCTGCGTCCCACCAGGCAGGCACTTATCTTTTGTGAATCCTGGCTCCACAATGGACTACAGTCGATTGTTCTGTGGGACCTTGGACAAATCACTTATTCTCTCTGAACCTTACTTTCCCTATTTGTAAGTTAGGAGGAAGAGGTACTCTATATTCCAGGGTCACAATGAGGACAGCTGAGAGTCTGTGTGGGGTCCTTTCCCATGTGCAAAGGTGGGGCTGGGCTTCATGGCCCGCAGGGAGCAGCTTTTCTAGCTGTGGGTAGGGCTCAGAGGCCCTGGGTTAGACCAACGAGGACCAAGGGCCCTTCACCTCGCTCCCCCAGCACCACACAGATTTCACAGAAAAGTTTTGCTGCTAAAACAAAAAGTCTGACTACTGGTGTGGAGGGAATGACATGGAACCATATACACTCTGGTATCAAGAGGAGAAAGCACAGAAACACACACTTTCTGCTTTGTACCGTGAGCACTTCCCATAGATGTCTCCTTTAATCCTCGCCACTGTCTTTGCTGCATCATGACCCTCTGCTTATAGGTGAGAAACCTCGACTTTGGAAAGAACAGGAGGCGGCGGCGGCTAGGAAGTGGCAGAGCCAGGACAGTACACCCAGGCCTGATCTTCAGAAGTTCCTATGTTTCTCAATTCCATCTGATGACCATTTACTGACCATTGAGGCTGTGAGGCAGCAGGCCAGGCCCTGTGAGTTTAGCGTATGTGAGACATTCTCTGCCTCGCTGACTCTAGTCTGCTGAGGGAGACAACAGCAAACAGCCTGTTGAATTCAGAGTGACAGTGACAAATGCTGCATGGAAGGAAGCACAGGGTGATCTGGGAACCTAGAGATGCTCCCAACCTAGACTGGGTCACCAGGGAGTGCTTCCTGGAGGCAGCAGGATCTGCACTGAGCACTGAAGGGGGAGTGGGATCATCCTGGAGGCAGTGGGACAAGCATTTTCTAGAGAGAAGGAATAGCAAGCGGAAAGGCCGGAAATGGGAAAGCTCAGTATCTTCTGGGAATGCAAATCATTTAAAAGTACAGCTGTAGCCCAGATTTTTTGGGGGATGTGGGGGTTGGGTGGGGCAGGTGGGTAGGAAGGTCAGAAAGGAGAGGCTGAGAGATAAAGCTGGCAAGCTGGCAGGGGCTGATCGTGAAGAGCCCTGCAGGCCCTACAGAGTTTGTGCCCGAGGGCAGTGTCCAGCTACTAATGGCTTTTAAGGTAGTGGCAGTAGGGTGGAGAGCAGTGGACTGGTCTGAGCTATCAGCGACGTGGCATGGATAGGGCTTTTGGTGATGGGTAGGGAGACAGAATGAGAAAAGTCAGAGAAACATTGACGGCCACTATGGCTGCCACAGCAGCCCCACTGCCTGAGCACTCACATGTGCCAGGCACTCTGCCCAATTTTCCATGCATTGCTCCATTTCATCCTCGCAATAATCTATGACTTAGGTTCTGTTATTCTCATTTTATGGATGAAGAAACTGAGGCTTAGAGGTTAAGTGATTTGCCCAATGTCATACAGCAAGTGTGGCTGAGCCAAGTGTCAAACTGAGATCCAGTTCCAGGCACGCTGCTCCGGGTTGCTATAATGCACTCCCCAGGCTGGCGCCCAGAACTCCGGCTCAGGCAACAGGGTGGGAGGCGGTGCCACTGACTAGAGAGACAACAGAGAAGGGATAGCAGGCCTGTTTGGAGAAAGACAACAAGCTGAAATTTGTATGTGTGGAGTCTGAGATACCTGTGGGACATCCATGAGGAGGTGTCCAGTAGCAGTTGGAGACGTGGATATGCAGGGCGGGAAGGAAACACTATTTGGCTCTTTCTAGATGGCATCTCTCTTTCCCAGGGAGATGTCCCCATGAAGGAGGGTCAAGTGGAGGAAGAGGAGCTCACAACGGAGACAGAAAGGATGTCAGAGGCAGGCAAGACATCTGGAGAACATGATACTCCCCCTTCCCTTTCCTGCCTGGCTGAGGTCAGAGGTGCCAAAGACAATGCGTGAAAAGGAGAACAAACACAAAATGCCAGCTATTCTCTAGTGGACGAATACGACAGGAACAGGAGAGCAGGATGGATTTGGCAACAAAAAAGTCACCAGTGACTCTGGAGAGGGTGTGGGTAGAAAACAGTCTGCAGTGAGCTAATGGGTGGAAGTGAAGACAGTGAATGCAGACATCATTTTTCAAGCAATGTGGCTGTGATGAGAGGAAAGAGGCTGGAGAGGGGTTGAGAGAGAGGTAACAGTCTCAGGGAGCAGTTTGCTTCCAAAAAAGAGAGTGATGGGCACAATGAAATGTGGATGGGAACAGCACAGAGGAGAGGCTAAGCTAGACCAGGAGCCTACTGCTGGGCTGAGGGGTCAAGAAAGTACTGCACGGGCCTTAGGCAGGAAAAGGGTGACTCTCATGACAAGGAAGAAAGTATGTTTGCAGGTGGGAATGGCAAAACAGTGGGAGAATCCCTGTACAATGGCTTTTTTCCTCATTGAAATCGAAAGTGAGGTTATTTGACAAAAAATAAGGTGTGGGCTGGGAAGGTCTAGTGGTTTGAGAAGACTGGAGGCCTGACAGAAGGACTGTGGGGAATGGACGTGCTGAGGCACAGGAAGCCCAGGGAACCATGAGAGGCCCGCCTGTGACACGGGAGCTCAGCAAGCAGAAGCGCACATGGCCGCCTGCCACAGATTCACGCACATGCTTTTCTTGAGCTGTAGAAAGGGAGAGCCAGGCTGGGGTGGAACCCAGGGCTGTGGTGTTTGAGTGGGTCTGAAAAAAAGATCGCGGGACAAGGAACTGAGTACTGGTGAGTGAGTGAGAGATGGGTAATTTGCCTGCCCTCCTACCAATACTTACAATACTTACTCCATTCGAGTGAGTGAGGAACGGACTGGCCTGGGAAGAAGAGAAAGGGGGAGGAGAGTCTTCAGTGGATGTGGAGGAGTGGCCAGGAGGTCACAGATGACAGAGCCAGGCGTGCAGTTTTTAAGAAGCAGGGTGAGCGTCTCTCTGCTCCCTTCTCCCACTGCCAGCCCGTGACTCTCTCACCTTTGTGTAGACAGAAGACACATAGACAAGGTGAGAGAGTCACGGGCTGGCAGTGGGAGAAGGGAGCAGAGAGACACTGAGCTCTGTCCATCTCCTGAGGCAGGAGAGAAGGAGCAGCTGGGCTTTTGTGGAGAGCCAGACTGTGAAGTCCAGGAGGTGGAGGGAGACAAGGGAGAAGGCTGCTGTCTACAGAGATAATGACCATAATCACTTAATGCATGCCACTGCCACTGCGTGTCTGTCCCTGCCTGCAGCCCCACGACTAAGTCTGGAAAGGGAGGGCTGCCTGGTTCCACCTGGGCCTGCCAGACAGGAGCTGTGCAGTGTGGGATGAGTGAGCAGAGCCTCCAGATATGTGAAGTGGGATGGGAGTACAGTGGAAGTTACCCAAGGATGGCTATGAAGGAGGAAACAGCTGAACTCAACTTGGAAGGAAAGTTTGTCAGAAGAAAAGGTGAGAGAAGATAGCATTATCAGTAAAGGGGAAGAGACATGTGGGCACACATATTTATGAAAAGCACACCAGACGTGGGAACTGCCAGGTGTGCTCTCTGGGGACTTAACTGGGAAGCACTGCCCTAAGAAGCCAGGAAAGGCCAGAGACTGCTGCAGCCACTGAACCTTTCTGGCTGGGTGATTCTGCATGGGAGAAAGATAGTGCTGACCCCTTTCAGAAGGCAGCGGTGGGACCCCTTGGCTCACTACTTCAGGCGGCAGGAGCAGGATCCTGGTTGTCCTTGGGGCTGAAAAAGGATGGTGAATCACTTCTGCTTTCCAAAGCACTAGGGCTGTTTGACCACCCAGGAACTGGAACTAGCTGGTTGTTACACCCAAATCTCTTCGGATGCTGGGCTCCCAAGCGTGTCACTGTGCAGATGCAGTTGGGAGTTGGCAGGTGAACAGGTAATGAAGCCACAAAGGACAAGCCATCAAGCTCCGGGGCTCATCTGGCAGGAAGGCTGCCCAGGAATGGTTCACCAGGTTCTGTCCTCAGTCCCGAGGACTGGTTCATTCCCCTGGCTTCAATTACATCTCTGTGCTGGTAAATGCTAGCCCTGCACTTCTCCTCTGAGATGTCTCACGGGAACCTTCAAGTCAACATGCCTCAACTGAATTCACTGTCTTCTGCAAATCCCATCCTGGCTCAGTGAAAGGTGCCACCATCTTGCTGGTCACCAAGCAAACACCTGGGAGACATCCCTGCCTCCATCTCCCTCTCCTGCCATCAGATCAAAGGCCCATCACTTCGGCTTTCTCTGAAAATCCCTCTCTTCTTCTCTGGCCCCACCATCAATCATCACTCCCTTGGCCTGCATTTCCTGCCTGAGGCATCGAACTCGAGGTCTTCCTGCCTGGAACCCTCCAAGCTACCTTCCATTTGGCCATGCCATAATCTTAGGATGCAGGTGTGACCAACTGCATTCTCTGATTAAAACCCTCAGTGACTTCTCTCACTGGTAGGATAAAGCCAAAGCTCTTCCGCAGGGCCTCGAGGGCCCTCCCTCAACAACAGTGTCCATCCCGCCTCTCTTCTGCTTAGTTTTGGCTGTCAAGCTGCTGTGGAATGTGCCATGCCTGCTGCCAGGACGGCCCTCCTGAGGAGTCTGTACTCACAGTCAGCCTCTTGTAAAGCCATTTCCAGGCAGGATGGGGGACTTCCCTCATCCCAGTACTTGTCACATGCTAATATGCTTGTCCAGTTTTGTGTCAGTCTCCCCACTGGGCAGCTTCTCCTGGGTGAGAACTTAACTGTGTCACACTTTGGCTGCCAGTATTTGTAGAAGTGTTTGCTGAATGAATACATGACTGAAGCAAGTCCTCAGCTTGGAGGAATCCAGCAAGCAGCTTCTCAGGCCACGACACGTTTTTTCCTCCAGTTATTTGCCCCCAGGCTCCCTGACCCTGATGCCTCCCCAACTCATTCAGACCTTCCCAGAACAGTGAGCCAAGCTGAGGCTTTTGGCAGCCAGCATCATTCACGCCCCAGAAGTCCTGGGGGTTGGGGCGAAGGTCCTCAGGGAGGAGAGATGGCAGAGCTGGGCTCTCCCTACACCCACCTTCTTTTTCAGCTTGTGCCGGGCCCGCTTGGCGGCCCTGGCGCTGTTGGGGACTTTGGGCTCCGTGCTGTTGATGAATTCCAGCAGCTCATCCACATCTCGGTGGTCCACGGCGGGCTCCCCAGGGATCCCGCCCAGGGCGCCCCCCTTCATGGGCAGCTCCTCTTTCCGCCTGGTCAGCCTCGAGCGGAGCTTCTCCCGGATCTCGGTATAGTTCCGACTCGTCGGGGCAGCGGGCGGCTGGTGGGGGGGGGAGGTGCTGACATTACACCCTGGGCCTGGGAGGCCCATAGCACTCCCACCCGCTGGCACCAAGTATGTGATGAGAAGCAAGACAACTGTTCTCTCTACCATTAGCCACCAAGGCCACATGGCTTCACCCTGTCAGCCAGGCTGAACCCAGGTGGCAGTGGGTGAAGGGACTAGGAGGGAACAGGGCAGAGCTGGGCAAACACTGACTGGGGAGCCAGGAAAGCAAGTTGGAGCCCGGGCTTCGTCACCGGGAAGCTGTATGACCTTGGGCGAGTCACCGAGTCTTTGTGAGCCTCAATTTTGTCATCTCTAAAATGAGGATAATAACCCCTAGCTCAAAGGTGACTAGCAATTTAATTACTTTCATTTCTTCTATCCTCAACTGCTCTACCCTAACCAGTGGCCCTCTCCTCTTCACCTTATGAGACTTCTGCACTGCTTCCTCCCCCTGGCCAGAGCCAGCATGCCCTCTGATCTGAGCCTCCTTCCTGGCGCCGTCTGTGCTCACGGCCTGTCCCTCGGCTGGCTGTCACACTTGGGGGACTGAGAGCCTTTTTGCTTCCACTCTGCCTTCATCACGCCCAAGCGTTCACTTCTCTGGGATTACACACGTATACATACTCATCAGAATCATAGCTTTCTCTCTGCCATTTCCTTTCCTTTTGCCTAAGGAAAAAAAGTCAATCTTAAGAGAAACCACGAGAAGAGCAAAGGTAGCAAAATGTTTAAAAACCCCGATCTCACGAATGTGCTGTGAGGATCAAGCGAGCGGACGCAGGTGCAAGGACTCATGGCCCCAGCGCGGTAATCGCCACCGTGAGCAAAGGGGTCTCTCTGGGGAGAGCAGTGTGCTCCTTTTGCTCACCTGGGCTGGCCCCCAGCCCTCTCTGGCCTGGGCAGGCTCACTCACCGCATTGTGGCCGAAGAACTCACAGTAGCAGCAGTCACAGAACTTCCCATCTCTCTGGTGGGTAGAGGACGAGGTGCAGGAGCTTCGCTCAGAGCTGCTATCCTCTTCCTCACCCAGCCCCTCATCTGCCTCGCAGGGCTGGGGCAGCTGGCAAGCCAGGCCACTGTGTGCAAACTTGTGCCCCTTGCACCCGGGATCCCTGATGATGGGGAGGAAGGCCCAGAGGTGAGGGAGGGTGATGCAGGAGCCCAGGAAGCATCCCAACCACCACCTGCCGTCCTGACCGCCCTTCACTTGCCCCACTCCACAGAGGTCCCAGGCAGTCCAACTACATTGCATCTCTCACCAGAACAGGGCGAACACCTGCACTGTCCCTCAAGGCCCATCCCAAACACAAATGTGGCTCTTCTGGAAAGGTTTCCCCACACCTCCCCTGCCTGCACCCTCACTCCATCCTCTGCTTACTGTGCTTCACAGTCATGGTCTGTCTGCGCATGTGTCTCTTAAACTGGACTGTGCGCCTCAAGGGCGGGGGCTGTATTGCTTCAGTTTTGGGTCCCAGTGTGTAGCATAACAACCCGGCACACAGCAGCTGCTCAGTAAATAGGCCTGAACCCATTGGTGGGCTGATGGCTCCTCTGGAACACTCAGGGCTATCCATGAGGTCAGTCTCCTTTCACTTTCTAAGGTGCTTCTGAGCAGACTCTGGTGCTCTGGAGCAGTAGGTGGAGCTGCCTTAACCACAGGGCATGGAGTTGAGAACAAGCGAGTGACTTCTGGGACACCAACTATAAGAGTCACTGTTTGTGCTAGGTTCTGGATTCGGCATCTTATTTTTTCTTTTTGAGACGGAGTCTCGCTCTGTTGCCCAAGGCTAGAATGCAGTGGCACAATCTCGGCTCAGTGCAAGCTCGACCTCCCAGGTTCATGCCATTCTCCTGCCTCAGCCTCCTGAGTAGCTGGGACTACAGGTGCCCACCACCACGCCTGGCTAATTTTTTGGTATTTTTAGTAGAGACAGGGTTTCACTGTGTTAGCTAGGATGGTCTCGATCTCCTGACCTCATGATCCACTTGCCTTGGCCTCCCAAAGTGCTGGGATTACAGATGTGAGCCACCGTGCCCAGCCTTGGCATATTATGTCTAACCATCCCCCAAGTCCTGCAAAATAAGTGTCATTATTCCCACTTTGCAGTGGTGGAGAGTGAAGCTGAGTACTTGACTGCTTTGCCCAACAAGTGGCCAGGACTCAAGGATACAAACAGACCATGACAATAATGCATGATAAACAGGAGGATAAAGTGAGGTATGCATAGTGCCCTGAGAAGGCGTGCATGGTGGGTGCAGGCAGGGGAGACGTGGGGAACTCAAGCCCACGTTTCTCTCTATGCAAAACTCTACTCTCTCCACTGTACTGTTCTGCCTCTGGATTTCAGGAAGCACTGGGATATCTTGTAATACAGAATATTTTCCCAGGGTAAGAATGAGGCATATGCCTGAAACATCCCATAATTTGAGCCAGGAAGAGCTGAAGCCTTAGGCTGGGCCATGAGCAGCTGAAGCACCCATTGGGCTGGTCCCAGTGCTAGGCTGCGGCTGAGGTGGCAAGGGAACCGAGAGCAAGGACGGCGCTCGAAGGAGCTGTGTGGAAGCCCAGCTTCCAGGGCAGTCCAAAGCAGCCCTCTACTAGAAAGGATGCTAAGCATGTGACATGGATTAAAAAACATGGTGGCAGGAATCATTATCAGTGGTGGTTACAGAAGTTTATTCTAAATCAACCATTCATTATCTATTGCATTAGCAAAATTGATTTTTTTTTTTTTTTTTGAGACGGAGTCTCACTCTGTTGCCCAGGCTGGACGGAGTGCAGTGGTACAATCTCGGCTCACTGCAACCTCTGCCTCCTGAGTTCATGCGATTCTCCTACCTCAGCCTCCCAAGTAGCTGGGACTACAGGCACACGCCACCATGCCCGGCTAATTTTTTTTTTTGTATTTTTAATAAAGACAAGGTTTCACCATGCTGGCCAGGCTGGTCTGGAATTCCTGACCTCGTGATCTGCCCGCCTCAGCCTCCCAAAGTGCTGGGATTACAGGCAGGAGCCACTGTGCCTGGCCAGCAAAACTGATTTTATTTTTTATTTTGAGACTGGCTCTCACTTTGTTGCCCAGGGTAGAGTTCAGTGGCACGATGTCAGCTCACTGCAGCCTATATCTCTCAGCTCAAGCGGTCCTGTCCCACTTCAGCCCCCACAACCTGAGTAGCTGGAACTAGAGGCATGCATATTATGCCCCACTAGTTTTTAAATTTTTTGTAGAGACAGGGTCTCATTATGTTGCCCTTGCTAGTCTCCAACTCCTGGGCTCAAGCAATCTTTCTGCCTTGGCCTCCCAAACTGCTGGGATTACAGGCATGAGCTGTTGCACCAGGCCACAAAATTGATCTTAGAAAAATTAAAATAGTGTGCCTGCAAATATGGGAAACCAGCACTCATTGGTGGTTACATCAATTTGGAGACCCCCTTGGATAGCAGTTTTTCAATGTGTATTAAGAACCCTCAAAAAGAACAAAAAACACCTAAACAGCCTTTAACTAGTAACTTTTTTCATTCTGAGAACTTGATTCCAACAAGAAAAATCCAAAGGAGGGAAAAGGCTTTAAGCAAAGACGTATTTAAAGACACTGTTGGTAATGTTAAAATGTCGGAAAAACCCAAATGCTCAGCAAGAGGAGAACAATAACATGAACTGCGGTCAATGTTCTCCAGCCTTTGAAGCTGGGGCTAAGAACACCACACCAGAACACAAATATGCTGAGGAGGCAACACTAAGTGAAAACCGGCGGGTGGCAGACTGCAGACACTGTCAATCCAGCATGTGCAAGACACAGGAGACTTTCCAATAGGAAAATAGAAACGCATGATAAACACAGATCTGATTTCTAACATAAAAATATACCTCTATCTTCTCCAAAGAATTATCTTTCAAATATATGTTAGTATAACCTTTCTCAGTACTTAGAGTTACTTCTAGGAATCTCCCCAAAGGACATGATTTCTCATTCAAACAGATTTAGGTGCAGGGATGCTTACTACAGTCTCATTCATCATGGTTAAACTGGAAATGCCTACATGTCCAGGAACAGGGGAATGATAAAGTATGCTTGAGCTATACAGTAAGACATTATATGGCCATTGAAAAGTTTCTTGAAGAATTTTAACTGGGGAAATGATCATGACATGATGTTAAAAAATTACTACTACACGAAAGGTATATCAGATATCTAATTATGTTATTTATATACAGAAACACGGTGAAAATATACCACAGTGGTAGAAGCTTAGGTTGTGAAGACATTTTTTTCCTTATACATTTCTGAATTGTTCCAAGTTAAAGACAAAACAAAATACAAAACAAAAAAACCCCACGTAGTAGTTTTTTTTTTTAAACTCTGTCACCCGGGCTGGAGTGCAGTGGCATGATCAATGCTCACAGCAACCCCAAACTCTTGGGTTCAAGCAATCCTCCTGCCTCAGCCTCCTGAGTAGCTAGGACTACAGTTGCATGCCACCACGCCTAGCTAATTTTCAAAATTTTTTTATAGAGAAGGGGGTCTTGCCACGTTGCCCAGGCTGGTCTCAAACTCCTAGGCTCAAGTGATCTTCCTGTCTAGGACTCCCAAAGCGCTGGGAGTATAGGTGTGAGCCACTGTGCCAGGCCAAAATACATACTTCTTTACAATTGGAAAAATAATGAAAGGAAAGACATAGTCTACTCTTTAATTTCCACCTCAAAGTTACCCCCAAATGGGTAGAGAGTGTGCCCTTCATGCAGCGCACTTACCTGTGAGTGCTAGGGGGTGGCTGAGAGCTCGGGGGTGGGAGGAGAGGCCCGCTGCAGTGCTCACCACAGTGCCCGCTGCAGGGGTGGCTGCACCCCGAGAATGGTGGGGGCATCTTCAGGAGTGGCATGCTGGTGGAGGGCAGATGGGAGCTCTGACATGGCCCTGGAGTGTGGGGGGCGGTGGCAGCAGCAACAGGGCACTCTGAAGCCTGGGCAGGGAAAGGTGCTGCCGGGGTGGTGGGCAGCAGGTGTGGGTGGGGCGGGGAGCCAAAGGAGCTGGGGTGAGACGGGATTAGAGATGCTGGCTGGGGGTGGTGGCCGGTGGGGCTGTTAGGGGGAGCAGTGAGGTCTGAGTGCTGGTGGTGCTCCGAGATGGGGAAAGCCTCACCTGTGGGCAGAGGAAGGAGAAAGGGGTCAGAATAGGAGCCCAGACCTGGGAAGGAAAGCCCACAGGCTCAGTGCCACAGCATCCTGCTTCTGTGACCAGAGGGCACAGCCTCTCAGCACAGGGGACCCTGGAGCTGGAGAAGATTCTGTGGGCAGCAACACAGCTGAGTGGGCTCAAGGAGCCCAGGCCCAAGCAAGAAGGTACTAGGAATGCTGATTCCACAGAAGGCCCCATGCCTTTTCTGTAGCATGAGCAGGGGATGTATATTCTGTCTCTCAGGGTCTCTCTAGGATCTGCTTGTACACAGGTGCTCCTCAGGCCTGGAGGATGATCTGCAGAAGCCAGTGGAGCAGCAGGCCCAGGCTCTGCCTCTGTGCCACGTGCAGCAAAGCAAAAGGGCACGCCAGACCCCTGAGGGCCCCAGATTTCATAGAAGTGGGAAAAAGGTTCTGATGACTCTCTAGCTTATGTACAAAAACTAATGGAATTATATACTGCTCAACACTCATAATTCTGGGGGCAGTACCACTTTGAAGAACTCAGCTCTTTCATTTAGAAGTATGACAGTAAATCATATTTACCTAATAAACCAATAACCCAAGAGTTTTGTCTCTGGGTCTCTGAGAGTTATTTCAGAGTCAAAGAAGACTTACACAGCTGCTAAATTAGCTAATAACCATTACGGCTTATACTGCCAATCTCTTGGGCATTTAAATGCAATGCTTTTATACCCATCCCTTAGGTGGGGAAATCAAGGCCTAGGAAGACACAGTTACCCAGATCCTCTGTGGTGCTGCAGGGGTCAGGTGATCTAAGTCCTACGACTCCACTTTCTACTCAGACCTCACTGGGTGCCGTCTTGATCCAATGTGAACTACCAGAGCCAATGACAACTTTGAGAGGCAAACGGTTTTCTACTAGCAGTATTTTTCAAGTTCAGAGTTGTGGGGAAAGGAGTTCCAGAGATAGTCAAGGTCTAAGCTGCCCCTGCTTCCCCCAGAACAGTTCCACTTTTACTTATTTTAGTAACCAGTCTTATGATTTGTTTGAACAAAGTGGACAGGAAAACACAGCTATCCACCTGTATAGGGCCTGGCTCTCTCCCGAGCCTGGAGACTCACCGGGAATGGTAGGAGGACTCCCAAGAGAGCTGCCTGGCATGGCCTCACTGGAATGTGGGGAATTCCAGAGGCCCGAGAGCTTATGTGCCGACAGGAATGAGCTAGGATCCCAGTCTCCTGAGTTCCCAGGGCAGGAAGAAGAGGACGAGGATGAGGATGATGAAGAGGAAGACGAGGACGAATGAGAGTCATCTCCACAAGACTGTGATTTGCAGGATGTGTGTGACAAGGAGATCTGGAGAAGGGGGAGGAAAAAGGCTCATGGTCAAACAGCAAACATCGGAGCTGACCCTCTGCTGCCTCGGCTTTTGCTGAGGGAGCCCCTTCTCTTCCAGGCCATGTGCCATAGCAAAAACACAATGAATACAACTCCAGCTATAAGAACAAATGAGGGCCAGGCCTTTGCTGGGAAAGGGCTGTGGTGGTCCCACTTACATGCAATGTGTGGAGACTGGGGAGAGAGACTCTGGTAGGGGCAGAGACTGCCTGTGAACTGCGGGCCTTTGGGGAGTAGAGAGCTGCCAATGACAGGAAGGGCCTTTTGGCCAGGAGTCCTGAAGCTAAACTGATCCTGGGTAAAAGGGAAGATCTGCAGCGACGTGAGAAATAAGGAAAGTCTGGTCATCGTGATTCATGAGACAGCAGACTTAGATGGCTCCCTGGTGTCTGTCCTTCTAACTAGGGCACATTTCAGACCCTCAAACTCATCTCTGTCTTCCACGTCTTACTGGTTGTCTTTCAAGCTGCCACAGAGCCAAAGACAGCAGGCTCGTGATCTACCAGTACTTATGAGTGGGCCCTCATCCTGTGCGCAGACCACCCTGAGGGACTGACCGGTGGGCTGCCAGAAGTTTCTCTTCTTCCCCCAAATCTGAACTTGAGCTGCCAATGCTGTGCCAGTGCAGCCCAGAAGTCTCTCAGTGTCTGGGCATGGGAGCTGCCCAAGGAGAGCCACCTGAGGACAGGGAACAGCCTGACTTCCTTGGGAAGGCAGCCCTCCTGCATTCAGGGACCCCTGTCAGTGGTTACCTACCGCCACTGCATGTTCTCGACCTGTCTGCCTTTCATCTTCCTCCATGCTCTTTCGGCAACTCTGGCAGACCCACAGAGGCATCTCGCCTAGGAGATTCTTGACGAGCTTTGGCATGAAGTCAGGGGGCAGCTTCTCACCCTGCAACACCAGTCCATTTTGAGAAGGGCCTTCTTCCCAGCCTTTGCGTTCCCGGTGACACAGAAGGCAGCAAGTCTGCACAGGCTGGCTGGAGGCGGGGGGGACCTGTCCAACAGACAGAAACAGGGTTTCCCAGGAGGGGAAAGGCTCTCCTTCAAAATAATGGTAACAATGTTAGTAATGCCACTTATTACGTGCCAGGCACTGGGTTAGGCAGTTTATAGGCATAATTTAAATTTAGTCCTTGTAACAGCTCTGCAAATGAGGTGTTCTTATTCCCATTTTTTAAGATGAAGAAACAGATTTCAAGAAGTTAAATGAGTTGCCCAAGGTTATAAAGCTAGCGAGTGGTTGAACCCTAGTGAGTCTGACTCCAAAGCTCATGCTCAAATGTCCTAATTCTCTGACATCCCCCAAACAACCTTTCATCTTAAAGGTTAAAGGCCCTTCCTTCTCTGGCATGGCTGGGAGTGGCTACAATTCTTGGGCTGCCTGTGCAGCCCAGGGACCAATGCCCATCTGGAAGGAAATAATGCTTTTAGTCAATGGACAGTTTAGGAGAATGTGTGGGTTTTCTGAAGAATTGCACAATTCCCTTAGGATCGCAGCAACATTTTGGAGGAGGCGTTTGTACAGCTAGTCAGAAAGTATCAACTCAGTGGGAAATTGTGTCAGAGGGAAGGTAAGGCTTTGGTTGGTACTCCTGAGAGGTAGTGAGTATGGTGAAAACAATCTGGGCTTTGAAATCAAACAGGCATTCTAATCCCTGCCTGAACACATACTGGCTGGGTGACCTTGAGCAAGTTATTTAACTTCTCTGGGCTCCAATTCCTACCTACCTTGCAGAGTTGTTGTAAGGATCATCACTGCGTAGCATGTGAAGTGTCTACCCTGTGTATGCCCATCACATAGGCCCAATACAGTCATTATTTGGACTTTTTTTTCCCTTCTATGATAAACTTGACTTAGAAATGTAAGTCAGGCCGGGCGTGGTGGCTCACGCCTGTAATTCCAGCACTTTGGGAGGTCGAGGCGGGAGGATCTTGAGGTCAGGAGATCGAGACCATCCTGGCTAACACGGTGAAACCCCGTCTCCACTAAAAATACAAAAAATTAGCCGGGTGTGGTGGCGGGCGCCTGTAGTCCCAGCTACTCGGGAGGCTGAGGCAGGAGAATGGCGTGAACCCAGGAGGTGGGGCTTGCAGTGAGCCAAGATCGCGCAACTATACTCCAGCCTGGGCAATAGAGCGAGACTCCGTCTCAAAAAAAAAAAAAAAAAAGAAAAATAAATATAAGTCTATAGGTTTGCTTTCACACTGAGGGGTCCTGACTGGGAGACTGACTGCATTTAATGCCTCCAATTAATAGCTTCCTATATCCTGCAACTTTGTATCTGCCCCCATTCTGACACTGGGCTTGGCTATGTCACTTTGGCCAATGGGATGTTAGCAAACAGGCTGCCAGCCATAAACTTGAAAAGTATGTATGCATTTCCACTTGTTTCCATGCATGGCTGGGCTTGCTCGCTCCTGTACCTCTGCCATGGCCTGAGAGTGAGACGAGGCTAGCTGCTGGAGGGATGTGAAAGACTTGTGGAGAAAGCGAAGCCTTCCCAGCTGATTGGCCAGCTGATCAGAGAAACATGAGTGAGCCCAGTTGAGAGCAGACTCGTGAGAGATAGAAAGTGGTATTGTTTTAAACCACTAGGTTTTGGAGGTGGTTTGTTATGCAATGGTAGTTAACTGACGTATCTGCAGAGGCCTATGGGAATAATAAGGGTATCACCCTCATCCTACCAATAAGATAATGCCATCATTTTTCTCCCATGAAATTACTTTCTCATAATGAGTTAGCATCAGGGTATCCTTAAACCTGTAATGTTACCAATTACACTGACTTAGGTCCTTGGTTTCTCAAAAAAGAAGAGAACCAAACAATAGTACCAGAAGCATAATGAAACATTTCGGGAAGTACAAGGAACTTAGACAGAAATTTTACATGTGGAACTCACAAAAGATACAGCCTAAATCAGTCTCTGCCAAGGGAACATTTCAATGAGCAAGACAGTTGTTTAATGGCAACTGCAGGAGTGGAAGGTTGATAGAGAAGGATGGTATTCAGAGAAATTAAGGCAAAGAAGAAACTTTCCATAGCTACAAAGTGCCACAGTAACTCTAGATAGAGTCCCTTTTCCTGCCATGATGATGACTACAAGGTGAGCACCAGGACATATACTTTTACTACAAGTTTCATTTCATTTGCATGCTAGGTTCAAAAGCCAGTACATATAATTAAAATGTTGTATAGTTATTCTTGAAAAAAAAAATTTTTTTTTTTTTTTGAGATGGAGTCTCGCTCTGTCGCCCAGGCTGGAGTGCAGTGGCACGATCTTGGCTCACTGCAAGCTCCGCCTCCTGGGTTCATGCCATTCTCCTGCCTCAGCCTCCCGAGTAGCTGGGACTACAGGCGCCCGCCACCACGCCCGGCTAACTTTTTGTATTTTTAGTGGAGACGGGGTTTCACCGTGTTAGCCAGAATGGTCTCGATCTCCTGACCTCGTGATCCACCTGCCTCGGCCTCCCAAAGTGCTGGGATTACAGGTGTGAGCCACTGCGCCTGGCCTGAAATTCTTTATATGGCATATAAACCACACTATACAGTCATCCCATAGTACTCATGGGGGATCAGTTCCAGGACACCCCACAGATACCGGAATCTGCAGATGCTCAAATCTCTGACATAAAATGGTGTCATATTTGTATATAACCAATGCACATACTCCCACAATCTCCAGATTACTTATAATATTTAATACAATGTAAATGCTATGTAAATAGTTGCTATACCGTATTGTTTAGGGAATAATGACGAGGCAAAAAGTCTACACGTGTTCAGTATAGACACAATCATCCTTTTTTTTTCCTTGAATATCTTCTATCTACAATTGGTTGAATCCACAGATGCGGAGGAATGACTGTATATGGTTTTGTAGTTATAACCAATAATTCAAATGTATAATAAAAAGTATGATACGTGTTTTCTGTTTTTAAAAGCAAATACACAATTCTTATAAATTAAGCATGTAATTAATGTGACTGCATTTAGTGCCAAAGTACTTGTGGAAGGCACTGGGGCGCAGTGGAAACACTGGCTTTGGCATTAATCCTGACCTCTATCACTTACCAGCTGTATGATGCTGTGCTAGTTCTACTTACCCTCTCTGTTTGCTCATCTGTAAAATGGGATTAAGTTTCAATTTGTAGGGTCAGCTGTGAGAAATAAATGTGATAAAGCACCTAGTCCACTGCTAGGCACACAGATGTTGCTCAACATATGGTATTAATCATTAACACGACAGGAACAATAGGAAACAATAAATGGTCACTGTATTTTACACGAACATGAGTCTCTCATATATGATGAATCTAAGCTGACTTGTTAGAAATCTTAATCTCTCCCCTCAACCCCATGAAGTCATTCCCTAAATTCCCAAAATAATCTCTGCCTTTTTCTATGTCATGCTTTTGCTAAAGGGGATCCCTTGCTTAAAATCCACTTTCTTCTCATGTTTACCAATGAGTAGCTGAGATGAAAGGCCCAATTTAAGTCCAACCTCCTCCAGGCTTTCTCCTACAGAGTCCCTCTTGTAATTCACTTCTCCTCTCCCATCTCCTCCTCGTACACTGTGCCTTGGTTACAGTAGTTGTGCCTTCTATTTAATTTATTTACCTGTATCTTCTGTCCCTTCTACAAGAGGCAGGTGCCAGGCCTGATTCCTGTCTGGATCCCTCATGGAGCAGCACAGGGCCTGGCTTGAGGCATGGGCTCAGCTGGGCATGTGGTAGAGAACTCAGGTTTGCTAGGTGTCCCCATGGCAATGCAGCCATCAGGCAGTCCAATGAGACACTGCTTGAAATTACTGCTTCCTACAGAGAAAGGCCCATCTGTCCACCTGACCTCCAGAATGGTTCCAATCTTAACCGCGTTAGAGTAAAAGACTGCATTCTTTAGGGATTATGAGATGCCCCCAGTTAACCGAAATAATGTGACTCTCCCTAGAGCCAAAATGGTACACAAAATAAATGAGATTAGCCATCACTGGAAGTGACCTTACAGGACAGGTTGTCTTCCCAGTTAAAGCAAGAAACACAGGGCCTGAAAAGCTAATTAAGCTCTAATTGAAGCTGCCCACAGGACATTAGAGATACAAAGCACTTAGCTCAAGGGATCCAGGCAGTAGGCACTCAATCTACTATCTAAGCCCCTTGGCTGTTCTGTTCTAAGTCTACATTGAAGACTAGTTTATCCACTGTCCTCTCTGAGTTTGGTACACTTGAGTCCTTCTTTCAGGCCCAGGCAGTTTGAGAAGGCCACTCCTAAAGCTGATGTCTTAACTCTAGGGCCTGGTGCCTGCCCCTGGGTATGATGCCTTGTGGAACTGGGAACTTTTTTCTGCTATTTTCATTTCCGCTTTAATTGCTAGAGGGTGATAAGAATCCCAAGCCCTAGAGATGTTATATTTAGTCAGTAATGCCACTGGTTCCTTCAAATTTTTGCTTTGGCAGAGAATGGCTCTTGGTTCAGAGTTCCCTTTGACTGTGATCTGCTGCCATTTTCCAAATTCTGGCATTCATGAACCCTTATGCCCTGAAAAGTCAGTCAACCCAGACTTTCAATCAGCTGCTCCCAAGCTGTATTTTTAGCACCTGGCACAGTATTCCTACACAAAGAACATAATCAGCAAATGTTCATCGAATGAATGAAAACTCCAACCATTTTTCTTCATCACAAAGGCTGATGGAACTGATTCTTGAATCCAGCAGCCCGTTGTTCTTGCTCACCTCAGTTTAAATTTCAGAGACTCTGAGGATGCAGGTCTAGCCTTAGGCAAAAGATGAGGTAAGAAAAATTCTGGGGGTTCTACTGATTTTGGATCTCCTCAAAAAAGCTCCAAGATAATTTTTCTTCACTCTAAGCAAAACCAGAATCTCTGGAGAGTGTGAGATTACTCACAGGAGATCCATGCTGTAGCATGCACTGCCCCAGAGCAGTGAAGGGGCCAAGTGAGCTCTAGGTACACTCCAGGGCCTAGGGGGCTGGCATCTGTAGCCATTAAAACCATTATCTCTGCTTCCTTACCAGATCAGGCCCAAGACTTTTTTGCCTTGACCTGAGAAGCATTAACTTAGGGCATTCTAGTTTTTCCTGGATAAAAGAGAGATAAAATCCAAGGAAGAGGAAGCCACTTTTTTTCATGGAACACCATTTTTTAACTGAAAGAATGACTTACTATTTAGACTTGGGAATTGGCAGACATTTTCTCAAAAAAATGAACAATGAATAAAATTAGCCTGTCATTTCAAGGAAAACAACTGACAGTATTTATAGTCAATGATATAAAACGCAAGCTTTCAAGTGAAGATTAGAATTCTGAAACTTTTGTCCACCACCATGAGTTTCACAGCTGCTAAATACTTGAAGACTTTTCTGATGAAATTGGTGATGATATTAACAAATGTTATCTTTTGGTACTGTAAAATGAAATGGAAAACATTTGGAAGATCTGCAAAATCCAGTGAGCCTATTTTCCAAATGACCAAAGCATGATGGATTCAAAGCACTGGTTTGACCAATAGATTTTAGTGTAAATGAGTATGAAGACTTCATTGATAAGGGCTCAAATTTAATACTGGAAATTATCTGGCAAGGCTACTGAAACACTCCTCTTTTTTTCACTTACATATTTGTGTGAGGTTGGATATTTTTTCATATACTTCAACCAAAACAATGTATTGCAACAGACTGAATACAGAAGCATATATGAGAAGCCAGCTTTAGTCTATTAAGCCAGATGGAAAGTAATTTGCAAAAATGAAAAGAAGACCATTCTTCTAATTTTTTTTTTTAAAGATGAAATCTCACTCTGTCACCCAGGCTGGAGTGCAGTGGTATGATCTCAGCTCACTGTAACCACCACCTCCTGGGTTCAAGCGATTCTCCTGCCTCGGCCTCCCAAGTGGCTAGGATTACAGGCACCTGCCAATACGCCTGGCTAATTTTTTTTTTTTTTTTTTGAGACGGAGCCTCGCTCTGTCGCCCAGGCTGGAGTGCAGTGGCGCGCGATCTCCGCTCACTGCAAGCTCCGCCTCCTGGGTTCACGCCATTCTCCTGCCTCAGCCTCCCAAGTAGCTGGGACTACAGGTGCCTGCCACTACGCCCGGCTAATTTTTTGGATTTTTTAGTAGAGATGGGGTTTCACTGTGTTAGCCAGGATGGTCTTGATCTCCTGACCTTGTGATCTGCCTGCCTCAGCCTTCCAGAGTGCTGGGATTACAGGCGTGAGCCACTGCGCCCGGCGCCTGGCTAATTTTTGTATTTTCAGTAGAGACAGGGTTTCACCATGTTGGCCATGCTGGTCTCGAACTCCTGACCTCAAGTGATCCGCCTGCCTTAGCCTCTCAAAGTGCTGGCATTACAGCATGAGCCACCACGCCTGGCCATTCTCCTAATTTTGTTTTGGAAAATATAGCTTTCATTAAAAATTGTTATGTTAACATGATAGCTTCAATACTGTCTTTCTTAAATGAATTAGTGACAAAATCTTTTAAAACTTTCTCAGCTTTAATATTTAATTTGGTAAATATCAATAGATATAAACAACATAAACAAAGGCTCAAAGGCCGGGCACGGTGGCTCAAGCCTGTAATCCCAGCACTTTGGGAGGCCGAGACAGGCGGATCATGAGGTCAGGAGATCGAGACCATCCTGGCTAACACAGTGAAACCCCGTCTCTACTAAAAAAATACAAAAAACTAGCCGGGCGTGGTGGCAGGCGCCTGTAGTCCCAGCTACTTGGGAGGCTGAGGCAGGAGAATGGTGTAAACCCGGGAGGCGGAGCTTGCAGTGAGCTGAGATCCGGCCACTGCACTCCAGCCTGGGCGACAGAGCGAGAATCCTCTCAAAAAAAAAAAAAAAAAAAAAAAGGCTCTTTGGGTTCCTCAATCATTTTTAGGAATACATAAGGGTCTCCTGAGGTTGGAGAACTGCTCAAGCCCAAGTGACGGACGTTGCAGTGAGCCAAGACTGCACCACTGTACTTCAAACTGGGTAACAGTGAGAGCCTGTCTCAAAAAAAAAAAAAAAAAAAAAAAAAAAAAAAGCTCTTTGGGGGCATGACTCAGTTTTCTGGCTTGGCCTTTCTATCCCCAATTTGGGAATAACCCATTGCCAGACCAGACAGCTGTCAAGGACTACTCTGAAGCTGGATTGAATTTCCAGCACTCAACTTGGCCTCATTCATCCATGGATTCTTTTTCATCTCCAGGGTTTGTATATGTTTGTACAGGATTTCCCCAAGACACATGCTGTATCTAACCAGCTGCCCTGCAACAGATCCCAAATTCTATTTTGAAATGGCCCACTGGAGCACTCTACTCTCGAGGCACCCAACTCCAAGAGCCTCTCTGTCACCAAGGCAGGCAGAGGACAACACCAGCAGCTAAAATTCCCTTTCAGAAGCAGAGAAAATGATCAATCCTCAGCCTAGAAAAACTCATTGTCATAGTTAACATCACTCACTCTTCCATTCACCCATTCATTCCCTCATTCAACATTCTCAAATTCCGTATCTCCTGCCAATTGTGCTAAGTGCTGGGAAACATCTATCCTTGACAATTCCTATTCATTCCCTAAGATTCTGGTCAAAGGTCAGTGAAGCTTTTGCTGGTCAAGCTAAGCACAACTGATTCTATTTAATACAGCATCATCAAAATGTGCCATAGATGTATTCTGTCTGTTCCTAAATTCCTGGTAGAATGTAAGCTCTCTGGGGGCAGGGTGTGGACCTTGGTCATTTAAGTATGCCCAGGAACCTAACTTGGCTTGGGCCTGGCACATTGCAGGCATTCACTGAATAAACAAATGAAAGCTTAAAGCCCACCTGGCTCATGTCTCAGCTTTTCAACACAAAGGCAGAATGTAAAACAGAGTCAAACCAGTGCATTTCCCAACATGCTATAAGTCACTCTGAGCCACTGATGAGAGGGCAATCAGTGAGAAGAATCTCAGACCATTCTAATGCTGACAATCAGAGCTGCAGTTAATTCTTAAGAGAGCTGACACAACCCTACCTCAGTGCCCTGGAGCTGTTACCCAAACTTCCATGCAGGCTGTGGGCTCAGGCCCTTCCAGGAGGTAGAACAGCTGTTTCACACTGTAAGACTAGTCAGTGGAGAATCCTTTCTGGTTGTACAAGCTCGGTTGGGAGTGAGTCTCTCTGATCCTAGTGACCTTAACCCTAAAACTTTCTCAGTTTTAATATCCCCACAAGGCTAGCTCATCTGCTGAACTGCCTCCTGGGTGCAATCAGCCACAAGGAGGGCCAAAGCCGCAGATTTACCTGAATCCTCAGGTCAAACTGCTACTCTGCTACTGTAATCCCAGCACACGTTACTCATGGAGGAGGAAGAGCATGAACTTTGGGGATGAGACACACAGTTTTGAGTTCAAATCCCAATTGTCGTTTTCAATATGATCTTGGAATATTACTCAATTTCTTTGAGCCTCAATTTCCTCATTTATGAAATGGGAATAAAACCATATTTTACAGAGTTGTGAGGACAGAAGGAAATAAATTATGTAAAGTACCTGGCCTGGGCCTGGCACAAAGTAGGTGCTCAATACCCGTTAGTTTCTTTCCTCTTCTGCCCTGGAAGAAATGACAGGGAAACTTACTAAGTGAGACTTGCCCAAACCAAATTTATTTCTTGAAGCAAAGGACAGAAGGACTAGACAAGTGACTTCAAGGCCTCTTTGAACCCCCAGCTCCTTGTTTTCTGGCTATAACTTCCTAATAAAACCTTCAGTGTTTGCAGTTCCACCAGCCCCTTCTTTCTGCCTTAGTTTCCCTACATCATTTTTCACAGTAGATAGATCTACTTGTAGCTACCACTTGTGCTAAGCATGCTAAGAATGGAGCGGGAAATAATAAAGGGAGCTAAGGGCCTTTGGTGGAGAATGAAGGGGAGATGGACGGCAGCATGTTGGCCCACAGGCTGCGCAACCATGCAGCTGCTGTGCTGGGAGCCACCCAGAGTTTGAAGGACGAAGGCAGGCTCACAGGCACAGAACTGAAGGCACAAACACAGGGCCCTTCCCAAGACATAGCATGCCTCTCCTCAGTCCTTCTCTGTTTCTGCACATCCTGCCAAGAAGGACCAAATACATAAAGTAGTCACACCTTCACACATGCTGTTCCTTCTGCCTTTTTTCTCTCTTTTTTTTTAGGCTCGATCTGGGTGTTACATCCTCTTAAGTCCACAGGAAGAATGAACTTGGCTTTGCTCTGGGATACCCTAACACTTTTTTGTTTAAAAACATATCTCAGGAATAGAGCTTATCAAATATATTCTACTGGTTGAAATCTGTCCTTTCCACAATACTGTGAGCTTTTCAAGGGCAGAGCCTGTGTCCCACAAGTCACTGTATTGCAGTCATTCAGCAGAGCCTGTAGCACAGAGTAGGCACAGGTAAGTGTTTGGATACACAATGGAAGATTAGCAGTTGGCAAATATCATTAATAGATCAGAACTGGGGGAAGGTTTTTTGTTCTGTTTTGAACTAAGGTGGTTTCTATTCTTGCTTATGGAAAAGCTCCTCCCTGGGAAGCTCATTGTTTGAATACCCTAGGTCTTCTCAAAGATCCCCCTGGCACCCTCGATTCAGCAGCTCCCAGACCCAGCCACATGTCGGAGTCACTTGGGGACAATTCAACAATAGACACCTGGGATCCAGACCTGGAGGCTGATTCTGTAAGTCTGGGATAGGGTCCAGCAAAGCACAGGGGATCTGATGATTATTAGGTTGGGGCAAGGGAGAGGTGGAATCAAGCAATCACAGCTGTCTCTCCCACTGAGAATTACTTCTTCACGTGCTATCAGAGAATGTATTGAAGCCCATGACGTTCTCTTTCCTGCTTAAAACCTTTCATTGATTCCTCACCACCTAGAGGATAAAGCCCAAACCTCTTGGTGTGGTTTTCAAGAACCCTGCTAGCCCCTTCAGCCAGATCTCTCTCGACTCTCCAAGTGAGTGGGGTTCGCCCTGGGTCTTTGTACAAGTTCCTTCCTTTGTTTGGACTCTTTTCTCCCACCTTGTTCTCTGGAGAACCTTGAAGACTTAGCTCTGAGAAGCATTCTCTGACCCATCTTCCTCTAGGTTACGTCTTGGGCAACCCCGACACCAGCTGCCTCTCGTGTTAAGCACACAGCACTTGTTGGACACTAACATTAACCTTGTACAACTGGATTGTCTTGTTTTTTCTTTTGAGATGGAGTCTCACTCTGTCGCCCAGGCTGGAGTGCAGTGGCACGATCTCGGCTCAGTGCAAGCTCCACCTCCCAGGTTCACGCTATTCTCCTGCCTCAGCCTCCCAAGTAGTTGGGACTACAGGTGCCCGCCACCACGCCCGGCTAATTTTTTTGTATTGTTAGTAGAGACGGGTTTCACTGTGTTAGCCAGGATGGTCTCCATCTCCTGACCTTGTGATCCGCCCACCTCAGCCTCCCAAAGTGCTGGGATTACAGGCGTGAGCCACCACGCCTGGCCTGGATTGTCATTTTATACATAAGAAAACAAACCAAGAGGCTGAAACACTTCCAAAGGCCACTTAATAGGGTCCAGGATGGCCGGGCACGGTGGCTCACACCTGTAACCTCAGCACTTTGGGAAGCCGAGGCGGATGGATCACAAGGTCAGGAGATCGAGACCACAGTGAAACCCCGTCTCTACTAAAAATACAAAAAATTAGCTGGGAGCGGTGGCGGGCACCTGTAGTCCCAGCTACTCAGGAGGCTGAGGCAGAATGGTGTGAACCCGGGAGGCGGAGCTTGCAGTGAGCCAAGATCGCACCACTGTGCTCCAGCCTGGGCGACGGAGACTCCATCTCAAAAAAAAAAGTGTCCAGGATTTGAACCTTTATTCAGAAGAAGCCGATGCTATATCTCCTAGCATCACTGCAATTACTATACACACGTTCTCTAGACTATGAGCCCCTTGTGGGAAGGGACTATGTCTGATTCACTTCTGCATGCGCAGCTAGCCCAGGCCTGGCACAGAGCTGGGATCGGTTAATATTTGCACAATAAATGCCATGTGAGATAAGACTGGGCATCACAGCATGCGAATGGCTGGCCTAAATGAACGAATAACTGCCAACCTGGCCCAGTTTGGGGGTAGATAAGAACGAAGTGGTAGAATCCTCACTTATTAGAATTTAGTTTAACAGCCAGGCATTGAGTATATAAGGACCACAGGACCACACACAGTATATACCCCCCAAATAAATTAAAACATAGACCCTGCTCTAAAAACTTCTAGATGAGGTAAGTAAAGGTGTTAGGATCATCTATCTGATATCAGAAATTAAAATTTAAAACTCAGCTGGGTGCAGTGGCATGCACATGTAGTCCCAGCTATTTGGGAGGCTTAAGGAGAAGTATCACTTGAGTCCAGGAGTTTGAGGATAGCCTGAGCAACATAGCAAGATCCTATCTCTAAATAAAAATAAATAAATAAAATCCTAAGTCGGTAAGTCTTCATTTTCAAAGGTCTTTTGACATTTTTACTGAGTGAGTCTCTACTGGCTTACAAAGAAGAACTAGAGGTGGCAGGGATCCCCTCAGTATCATTTCCTCCTACTGACAATGGAAGTTGTGCAGGCTGGGCAGGCAGTGATTCTAAGGGGGAGGTCCCCAAAGATAGGAACTGTCTTATCCATCTGTGCACCCCAAATAAAGGTCCTGGCACAGAGGTTGTTTTGATATCTGCTGAGTGAACTAAACATAATGAGATGGTTTTATTAAAGATACTGACTAATCATCTGCTATAAGATACTGACTAATCAATTTCTTGAGGGAGCAGTGGGAGAATCGGATCTCTAGAGTCCCTTTAAACTAGACTGGGCAAAGGCCCAGAGGACGATGTGGAGGGGAACAAGAGGTGGACAAGGGTAGGATGAGCTCACCTCTCCTCACCAACTGCTGGTTTACATCCTAGCAAGTCTCCTGGGGGCTTACTGAGTGTACCTGGATTACAAACTGAGTGGTCCAAGAGAGACGAAAGACAGCTAGCAGAACTAATAGGCCAGAACACTCAGGCTTTGTATGGCCACCTGGCACAGCTCCTGCCACCTCTCTTAGGTGAGGCGCCTCTATGTACTAGCTGCTACATAGGTTGCTTCTCTTGTGAACTATTATTTATTTATTTTTTTTTAAGAAGAAGGAGATGGGGTTTCCCTCTGTCCCCCAGGCTGGGGTGCAGTGGCGTGCACTTGAAGTCCTGGGTAACTTGAACTTCTGGTTTCAAGCAATCCTCCCGCCTCAGCATCCCAAGTAGCTGAGATTATAGGTGTGCATCCATGCCCAGCTAAGTTTTGGTTTCCTTTTTTTTGTAGAACCAGAGAGCTCACTATGTCACCAAGGCTGGTCTCAAACTTCTGGCCTCAAGGGATCCTCCTGCCTCAGCCTCCCAAAGTGCTGGGATTACAGGCGTGAGCCACCAAGGCCTCTTGTGAAGTTCCTGATGGGGTCAGAGAGAAGCAACTTGCGGAGTCACAAAGCTAGGAGGCTAAGCTGGGAATTCAAGTCTCTAAACACCACTCCCCACTGCCTCCCACAATTGCTTTTTCAGTTGTTCCTTGTTTGTTTGTTTTTTCCTTTGCTAATAAGGTAGTAACTGTTTCAGCCTTCTTGTGCTGTAAACAAGGATTTGGGTTGTTAGGAAACAGATCAATGTGGTTTAGTGGCCTGAAACAATTGAGAGTTAAGCCATTTGGGATCCCAGTTAAACTCAAGGTCCTGCTTTAAATGTGTACAGGTTATGCAAATGAGTGAAGGGGCCTGGGAAGAACCAGAAGAGGCCTAAGGAGCACACGTTGTCTAAAAGGGCCAAATGCTACTCAGAGACTACTGATTACTGCCTTGTGGAAAAGTGGACCCAGCATCACCATATCTTTAGTTTAAAAAGAGCCCCAAATCCAAATGTGTGGGAAACCTTTTGATCTTTAAAATATGGTCTCAAATGAAAATACAAACAGAAACAAAACAATGTGTGAGCTGGGGCATTCCAACAAGCCTGTGGACTGGGAGTGGTCTCATTTGCCACCTTGGGATTCAGTTTGGTGTATGACACTGAGTTTCATCTTCCTTATCCACTCTGTATATGTAAGACAGGGCTATGAGTGGCAGTGAGAGCCAGAGAACCTCAACAAAGACACGCTTGCACGCAGAGCAATGACTGAACCCTACCTTTCTACTAGGTGCTTTGCACCAGGGCACAAAAGCCTGCTTCCAGACCCCACCCCCGGTCAAAGTGGGGCATAATCAGAACCGAATTTACCAGTTTGTTTCCCTTCTTTGGGGCTGTAGTTTAAAAAAAAAAAAAAAGACTTGTTAAAAATCCCCCAAACTACCTAAGAGTCCTTTTCTTTTCTTTTGTCTAACACCTATAGCTGGAGTCATTTGGGCAAATGTTTAGTTGCTCTGAGTTTCTGTTTCTTCATCTGAAAAATGGGGTAATAATATTTATATCCTCTAGTTTGTTGATCAACATTTGTTAACCACCAGGCACAAGGGTACAATGGTGACTGACATGGCTCCTGAACTCACAGAGTTCACAAATAAAAACAGATAATCAAATCAATGGTCAATTCATCATATGTGTGCTAAATGCTGCGGAGAAATACAGTGGAGGGGGGAAGATTATAAGTAAGGTATGTAAAGTGCCCGGCACAAATAAATGAATCAGTAGGTCAAGCAGTGGAGTAGATAAGAACATGGTAGGAAACTAGATGTCAAAGCAATTGATGAAGCTTAGAGCTCTTGGCAAAGTTATATCCTCAATAAAAACTGAATGGTTGAGCCATCATCCAAGCTTTCTGGCATCTCTATGTGGCAGAGACCCTAAAGTATTCTATGGTCTGCTGAATGAGAAGAAGAGAAGACAACAGCTTCCCGGCTCTCCCTTCTCCCACTCTCCCTTTTTGGGTAACAGCACTCCCAGGGGGGTCCCAGAGTAGGCTGGTGGGGGAAGCAGCCTCAGGGTTGGCAGCTAGACCCAGTAGGGGTCGGGGGTCCCACCTGGGGAGTCTCCTGGAAGCAGTGTCAGCCTAGGTTAGGAGATGGGGATGGGGATGAAGGTGGAGCTTCTGACACTCAATAAGTGGTGACATTTTCATTAATTAAAAACCTTATTGTGATCTGAGACACAAGGAAATCAGCATGAAAACTGGGTTACAATAAGCACGGGTTCTGGACTGATTCATTTTCTCTCTCATTCACCTAGTTATTTTTACTCTGTGTTAGCAAGGCCCTGGGCCAGGCGTGGAGGATCAGAGATAGATGGCACGGCCTGTGTCCCTGCGGAGTTCACAGTCCAGGGCAGGCAACAGACATATCAACAGAACGTTTCATCACAGAAAGGGGAGTGCTACCAGAGGGAGGCACAGAGGGCTGTGGGCACAGAGAGGGCACCTGACGCAACTGGGGAGGTCAGGGGAGGCTTTGTAGGAAGGTACCCCAAATGGCAACCCCACTCACATGCACAATTCCAGAGATTCTACTAGAAGGCTGTCAAGAGCCATGCCTTCTGGCTGCACCAGCCTCCCAGAGTCCCCTGCTGCCCGATGCAGTGTCTGCAGAGCCAAACGCATCTTCCGCCACGCCTCATCCTCATCCGGCGCCGCATCCGACCCTCCAAGACTCCTGCAGGAGCCTGCCTTCCTGGGCAGGCTCAGCCAAAAGACCAACTCAAAACTCTTTTGTCAGAGCAAGCTTAGGGAGAGCCACCCAGCCCCGAGTGCCACAACCCTCCCAGAGCAACCGTGGCCCATGTCACCCCCGCCTCTCAGTGAACATTGGCAGGGTACCCCCCATTATCTCCTTTGCTCAAAAGAAAGTGACCTTCTTCCAGGTGGCAAGCTGGAAGCTTTGGAGAATCCTCCTACTGTTCACTCTCAGCAGGAGTCTCCAAACCCGGGATCTCAGGGTCGGGGTGGGCCGCCTTGCGGGGCAGGGGAAGGGAGAAAGGGCAGGTTCTGCTGGGTTTCCACCTCAGGGCAGAAACCCCACCAAAAACTCTTCCGGCCAGCCTGGCTGTCTGCTCCGACTGCTCTGCTGGGTATGGCGAGGAGGTGCCAGGAGACACAGCTGCTGAGGGGCCGCGGCTGCAGGCGGTGCAGGGGACGGAGTGGAGCCGTTCCCGAGGGGAGAGGGAAGAGGCTGCAGCCGTCCAGTCCCAGAGCCCCGAGATGGCCTGTGGCTGAGGGAGCAGGTGGGCCCAGGGGGAGGTGGCGGGCCGAGAGAGGAGCTGCGGCCTCGGGATCACAGCCCAGTCCCAGTGTGGGTGTACGGCCGGACGTTAGCCTCTGCTCCAGGCCGGAGGCGGCGGGGAGAGGGGAGCAGCTTCAGCCTAGTCGCAGGAGCGCGGACCGAGCCTCGGCTTTGGGGAGAGGGGTCCAGCCTCCACTCCCGCCCCGGGGGAGAAAGCTTCGGCGCCGGACCCGGGGGAAGGCTGCTGCCCCAGCCGCGGCAGGATGGCCCATCCCCAACCCCGCCCCACTCCCGCTCCCGCTCGGGGGAGGTGAAAGCGCCCGGGCCGCCGAAGTCGCCTCGCTCGCTCCTACCTGCGGGCCGGGCACCAGGTTGGGTTCGTCGTCCTCCCTGGAGCCGTCGCGATCGGGCTCCGCCGGCGCCTCCGGGGGGCCTGCACCCGCTCCCGCCTCCAGGCTTGGCGGCGGCGGGGGCTCGGGCGCCTGGGGCTTCTGTGGCCCCGCGGCCCGAGCCCGCTCGCGCCTACCCGCGCCGCCGCTCGGCCTGCTCCGCCTCCGAGTCATGCTGCCGCTCGCGCCGCTCCCTCGCTCCACACGCCGCGCCGCCGCCGCCGCCGCCGCCGCCGCTACCGCTCCCCTCACAGGACAACAGCCAATATGGCGGCGCCCGGCTCCCCCCTCCGCCTGCTGCCAGCAGGTCAGAGGGCACGCGGAGTCCGCGCCGCCGCACTAGCCCCCGAGGCAGCCTGCGCCATTTTGAATAAGGTCACCACCCGGAGTTCCGTGGGAGAAAAGCCTGGTGGGGAGACGCCCTTCCCCCTACGCGGGACGGGAAGGATGCTACCTGCTGGAGGAACGCGTGTAACGCGGTGGTAATCGCGGTGCAGCACCCTAGCACTTAATAATTGCCTGTTAAATGGATGAGTGAATTAATTTCTATAGTGTTACAATAATACTTTCACACCCGTCGTCTGACTCCTTCCAACAGCACAGCAAGGCAGATACGGATCATTCCCATTTTGCAGGGGAGAAATACTGAGGCAACATAAAGGCTTGCAAAAGGCTGCTGTACATCATTTTGTTGGAACTGCTGGGCTCGTGGACGGCCTAAGTTGAAAGGGACGGTCTTTATTTGCAACATACGGTCTACTGGGAGTCCAGCGTTCTGTGCTTGGGGCATGGGACTCAGATCCGACTCCTTGTTCTAGAGTCTGATGGAGAAGGTAGACACGTCGGTACATAGTTACAACCGGTGTGATAACGATGAGACGACTAGATGTTTCCAAAAAAATAGTATATGCAGGAGCGGATTTTGGAATGGTACACAAAGGAGAATTTTTAAAACTTAATAATTATGTATTTAATTGTTAAAAATGGGATTTCCCCCCTCTTTTATTTTTGTGAATATACTGTATAATACATGCACATGGCACAGATTTAAAAAAAAGTTGTGAGTGAAGTCTGTCTCATGCCTGGGCTATGTACTCTGAAACTGTGGTTATATGGAGAGTTGCTATTGGTATCAAGAAGGGCAGAATCCTGACATTGGCTTCCTAACCCATGGGGCAAGGGCTATTTTGAAAGGAAGAGCTACATGGAAGGCCCTAGAGCTCTCCTTAACTACCAAGAAAATAAATCAAAAATAGTACCTTATCTTACCCAGGGATTAATACCACTCTCAAAGATTTGAAAGATGTAGGGTGAGTCCCATCACATCACCATTACCTCTTCAGTTTGTCCAGAATAGGAGAGAGATGGCCTTGAAGAACAATAGAGCATTATGATAAACTTACTTATTCTGGTAAGAACCCCAACTTCAGGCGCTCTTCCAGATGTGGTCCTTCTTGGGAGAGATCAGCACATTTGTTGGCCTCTAATAGGCAGCAAGAGGTCTGGTCAATGGTTATTCTTCTGTACCAAACACAAGGATTCCCTTGCATTGATCTGGCAGAGGCAGCAGTAAACCCTCACTGTCTGGCTTCAGGGTATGTCACTCTCTGGACCCAGCCACTTAGTTTACAGGGATTTTTTTTTTTTTTTTTTTTTTTTTTTTTTTTTATGACAGAGCCTCACTCTATCTCCCAGGCTGGAGTGCAGTGGCGAAATCTCAGGTCACTGCAACCTCTGCCTCCTGGGTTCAAGGGATTCTTGTGCCTCAGCCTCGAGAGTAGCTGGGATTTGAGGCGCATGCTACCACGCCCCCTAATTTTTTGTATTTTTAGTAGAGAAAGGGTTTTGCCATGTTGCCCTGGCTGGTCTTGAATTCTTGACCTTGGGTGATCTGCCTGCCTCAGCCTCCCAAAGTGCCAGGATTACAGGCATGAGCCACTGCACCCTGCCAGTTTACAGGGATTTTTTTTTTTTTTTTTTTACTAAATCTCCATTCTAATGGATATCAGGCTAATCTACCAAGGCACTGATGACATCATCTTGATGGACCTTAAGAAAAGGGAATAACAGATATCCTGGATGATTTGGTAAAGCATGATGTGTGTGCCAGAGGATGGATAATAAATCTCACAAATATATAGGGGCCTGTCAGTAAGCCATCTAGGAGTCTGGGATATGTCGAGATATTTCCTGTAAAGTGAAGGAAAAGAGTAGGTCACACTCCCTGCTAAGGAAGAGATTCAGTACTTGGGCTTGGGCTTCCTTAGACTTGGTGGGAAACATAGATGTATTTAGGTACATTATTTTGACCAGTTACTGGGTCACTTGAAAGCTGCCAACTTTAAGGCAGGATCATACAAAAAGAGAAAGTTTTCCTACTGGACCAGGCTGCAGAGTAAATAGTTCTGGCTTTGGCCTTAATACTTAGACATTGGATTTTGGAGCAAAGTTACGCTTTCTTTTAGCAAATAGTTATACTCCATTTTAGAAATAGCTCCTGGCTTGCTTCAGGGGTCCGGTGAAATTGGATGCCTGATCCTGGCATACCACGTGACTACGTGACCTGAACTGAGTGTTATCTGATCTACTCAGCCATAAAATCAGGGGTGCTCAGCAACACCCTGTCATGAAGAAGTGACATGTGTGGGTTGGGTCCACGCAAGTCCTAAAGCACAAGTAGGTTGCCAGAGCAAGTTACTTACATTCCTCTGGTGCCACACTCTTCTCCATTCCATCCCTCAACCTGGATCAATGGTTTCATGAACAGTTTAATGATGAGTTGACCAAGGAAGAAAAATCCAAAGCCCAGTTTGCAGATGGCTCTGTGTGGTGTGCTGGCTCCAGCCAGAAGCAAATTGCTAGCGTGTTCTAGCCTTCCTCAGACAGGGCCCAAGTGCATAGAAAAGGGAAATCCATGCAAAGACCTTGAAATAAAGACACATCAATTCCTGGCCATTGGATCATGATTTACTCTGTTGTTGAGGGACTTGGGGGAAAAAAAAGCCTGCAGCCTTAGTGACAGGAAGTTTTGAGGATGACAGATGTGGAAAGATTGCCCAGAATGGCTTAAGAACATAAGGCTATTTGTGTCCCAGATGAACGTTCATCAAAAGAACCTCTTAAAAGCCCAATGGGCAGTATGGCCGTTTCCGTGGCTGTCAGATTGTCTCTTCCCAACTATTTAAGAACTTATTCAATGGCTCCATGAGAAAACTGGCCCAGCAATTTGGACTGTCTCCTCCCCAAGGCTGGCTGACCTATCTACTCTCAGTGTTGAGTCCAATTTGCAGGAACCAGCCACAGCCCCTGTGTGGAACCTTACTCTGAGGGGCACACCCAGCTCTCTTCTAGCAGGGTGATTACTTTGGACTATGTATTAGGGCTAGTTAGCTGCTGTAACAAACCAACCTCACATAGCAAGAGTTTTAACACCTTAGATCTTGTCTTATTCGTGTCGCAGGCCAATGCCTATTGAAGAGGACTTTGCAGTCACTCAGGGATCCAGTCTCCTTTGATCCTGTGGTTCTGCCTTCACCTGGGCTCTCAAAGTCCTCTCCATTCATCTAGAGGATAGGAAAGGTGATAGAGTGAGGGTTGCCTGGGACATTTCTTTCTTTCTTTCTTCCTTCCTTCCTTCCTTCCCTCCCTCCCTCCCTCCCTGCTTGCTTTCTTCCTTTCTTCCTTTCTTTTTTTTTTTTTTTTTTTTTTTTGAGACGGAGTCTGGCTCTGTCGCCCGGGCTGGAGTGCAGTGGCCGGATCTCAGCTCACTGCAAGCTCCGCCCCCCGGGTTTACGCCATTCTCCTGCCTCAGCCTCCCGAGTAGCTGGGACTACAGGCGCCTGCCGCCTCGCCCGGCTAGTTTTTTGTATTTTTTTAGTAGAGACGGGGTTTCACCGTGTTCGCCAGGATGGTCTCGATCTCCTGACCTCGTGATCCGCCCGTCTCGGCCTCCCAAAGTGCTGGGATTACAGGCTTGAGCCACCGCGCCCGGCCCCTTTCTTCCTTTCTTTCTTTCTTCCTTTCTTCCTTCCTTTCTTTCCTTTCTTTATTTTCTTTCCTTTCTTTTCTTTCTTTCTTTTTTTTGAGACGGAGTCTCACTGTGTCACCCAGGCTGGAGTGCAGTGGCTTGATCTTGGCTCACTGCAAGCTCCGCCTCTTGGGTTCACGCCGTTCTCCTGCCTCAGCCTCCCACGCATGGGACATTTCTATGAGCTGTACCCAGAAATGAATATACATCACTTTTACTCACACGCCATCGGGAGAGAATTCCACCGCATGGTTCCCCCAGAGGATAATCCTTCCCTCTTACTTTTTCCTCTCTCCCCAGGCAGCACTGATCTGCTTTCTGTTTCTGCAGAATATTTTGCATTTTCATACAGTATGTATTCTGCTTTGCCAGGCATCTTTCCTGCAGTATAATTATTTTGATTCACCCACACCGTAGCGTGTTTAGATAGCTCATTCCTTTATACTGCTGAGTAGTATTCCGTTGTACGGAAGTATCACATTTTGTATCAATTCAGTGCTGATGAGCGGTCATGACAAACATTTCTCATGTATTAAATTAGCTTATTATGCTGCTCTGAGAACTGGAAGAAAATATATTTAACGCGCAGTGGCTCATGCCTGTATTGCCAACACTGTGGGAGGACCACTTAAAGCCAGGAGTTTGAGACCAGCCTGGGCAACAAAGCAAGACCCTGTCTCTCCAAAAAAGAAAGAAAGAAAAAAAAGCTGGCAGGTGGTATATGCCTGTAGTCCCAGCTACTTAGGAGGCTAAGCTGGGAGGCTTGCTTGAGGCCAGGAATTCAAAGCTGTAGTGAGCTGTGATCACTGCCACTGCAGTCCAGTCTGGATGATAAAGCAAGACCCTGTATCTGTAAGAAATAAATAAAGGATGGGTGCAGTG